CCCATCCCTACGACGTCATTTCAATGATATTTCCACGAGGACACCCGGCCATTACACGCTTTACCTCCAGCCCTCTCTCAACAAGTTAATTCGATTCTCGATCTACGGAAAGCAGCTTACTTTTATTCGCTCTTACTTTTTCCCGTTTATAGGCACGATAAAGGCGTGGTTTTTTTTTCTTTTTTTTTGCGAGCATAAACGATTATTATGATTTACGACAGTGCTCCTTATCGGGAGAACAACAACCAGCGTCTATGCACATCGTCTTGTCGACCTGCACCTCCCTTTTTTTGGACAATCTTCCTGGAATAAAGATTTCATTCGAACCCTACGATTTTCATCTCGAGCCTTTTGTACCCTTTTCTTCCTTTTGCTTCCATATTCTTTGCTTTTCACCGAATTTTACAGCCTTTCTTTACCATATACTTCAATTTCTCTCTTTCTCTTTCTCTCAGTTACTCATTGAATCAGTCACCCATTCGCATTCCATCCCGAATCTCAACCCATGAAATCCTTACTCTCTCTCTCTCTCTCCCCCCTGGGATTATCGTAGGCGTCTACCGGTCAAGTAAATCGATGGTCCTCGATAAGAGAAATGCTCAAGCAAAGTCGAATTTCTCATGAATGAGTTCAGCCAGTAATCACAATGCGCTTGAAGACTTTTCGGTATAGATACATCGAGTAGCAATACGAGTAGCATCGATTAGAATGTCAGTGTTTAGGCCCTGATAAGATTTAGCATGTTTTCGGATCGACCAGCCTGGATAATAAAATGGACGACGATGGATCCTAGAATCCTGTCCTATTGTCCAGGTTCAAATGGAAGGCCGACCACGTGCGTTCATATACTTTAGCAGCATCTCTCTCACGTACACGCGAAGCCTATATGTATAGTTTTGTTAATTCGAAAATTTGCAGCTCACTCGTCTCAACGCTAACCAACTATGCATCCGCGAGGTGCGCGTCGTCCTGTGACTTTATATTCGTATCTCGTGCGGAGACATTCAATTTACATATTAAGACTGTAGAGTTCAGAAAGAGTGAAATACGTTATTATGTAGTATGGCAGCCGAACTCCGAGCTGAAATTATTGAAATATTTTCAGCCTGGAGTCCGAATCTATTAGTCTTGACTTTAACGACTGACAAGAGTGAGCGCACGATTAAGAGCACGACTGCTCATGAATTCACCGCTGTAAAGATCGAGCCATCACCCTTCCATACTTTTACGTCCCATTAATTGTCCCTTTGTATCATAAGAATTACCCCAACCTGTAACAATCGAACGAGCGCCTCGTCCTGGCTGACGTCAAAGTGACCATAGTGCACCCTGTGCTCCTCTGGAACGGGAAAAGCCGGACAGTTGGCCCTCGGCCGATTCTTACTGCGAGCGATTAGTAAATCGCGGTACGTCCATGTATCACGCGCTACGTCACTTCCGTGCACGTCCTTCGGCCACGCAAATGCAAGAGACGTACGCGTGACACGCGCTTAACCCGAAAAGTAGACAAACCTTCCTAAGCTTAAAATCTTAATATTCCAATACTCCGTAAGGTGAGCTTCGTGACGCGAGCCACGTAAAAGGAGGATGGATACTTGGAGAAGCTAACACGAACATCTCCACGCGTCTCCTTGCTGCGACGGCGATTGAGCCTTTATCACGCTGTCGGCGCCTTCTCTCTCCGAAGCTTCGAAGAGACTCGCCTTTTTTCCCATTCGCAAGAAAGAGAGAGCAACACGTCAGATTCTTCAGAACGGAAGTTCAAGAGGACCGTGGACCGGAGCCGTCCAGCTGGAGCCGGTATACTTACCCGACGACCTCGCTGCTCCCGTATTCTCCTAGCTAAGGTCAGGAAGGCCTCCTCTATGTTGATGTTCTCCTTGCACGAGACCTCGAAGAAGGGCATGTCGAAGTTCTCGGCGATCTTCTGGCCTCTCTCGGCATCGACGGCCCTGTGAGAAGTGGCGTCGCACTTGTTGGCCGCCAGCACCTTCACCACGTCCGGCGACGCGTTCTGCGCTCAATTATTTTGAGTTTCATGAACTTTCGAGCAAGCACAGGGTTTAATAAGTAAGGCAGAGCGCCGAGTGTACCTCTTGAATGTTACGCAGCCAATAGGACAGGTGATTGAAGCTCTCGAGGCTGGTAACGTCGTACATCAAAAGAATTCCCATAGCCCCGCGATAATAAGCCGTCGTCAAGGTCCTGAATCTCTCCTGACCAGCGGTATCCCTTTTCAAGATGTATTTCGTTAAATTCAATTATTTGACAATCGTCAACGCTCGTCGAATAACGAGAAGCTCGAAGCTACTCACCATATCTGCAGTTTGATCGGCGTCCCGTCAAGGTTAATGATCTTCTGCTTGAAGTCAATACCTATAAAAAAAGGAGAAAGGGTTGCATAAAAGGAGAAAAGCATTGGTCGAGGAAGATGCGAATCAAGGAAAGTTCCACCGAAGAACCGTATATGCTGCTGACGGAGAGATTATCAGCTGTTCGGTAGCGAAGTGCATAATTGACAGGGAACGTTATTACGAAATAAGCAGCTGTCACTTGGATTGTTTATGAGACTGTCATTAGGTGTTTCGACAGATGACTAGATCGAGGAGGAAACGTGGAAAAGGCATAAAACAGAAATATCGAGAGGTGGTGCGAGTGAAAAGTGCAGTCGCGAATGCGACCACGAGAGAAGGAAAGATCCAGACTACAGGAATCTCACAGTATTCGACTGTCTCGAGTGAGCAATTCGATGTTCGATATAAACGTAGCAACATCGATTCCGCCAACTAAGAAAGAACAGACTTTGAAATGGAAAAGGAAGGAAAATCTTAAAGAAGAACAACAAAGAATTTGATAAAAGAGTGGTTTGGCGAAAAAAAAAATCGAATGGAAACAGAAAAGCATTTGGAATATTTTGCTGCGGAATGAGGATAAAATGCATTTAGGGCGTTGCGAGCAAAGAGACGCCGAGAGCGTAAATCCGAGGCTGTCAACAAACTGCGAGGGGAACAAGATGTCAAACGTCGCCTTTCGTCGTCGTGCTTTTTGTGTCTTCCTCAAAGAAGTTTTGCGAAAGACTTACCGATGGTGGATATGTAGGTGTCATAATATCTCTCGTCGCAGTAGCGATGCACGATGCAAGTTTTCCCAACGTTCGAGTCGCCAAGTACGAGGACCTTGTAGGTGGCTGCGAAATCAAGCGCCATGTTTGCTTGGGATGGTTTTGAACTGTTGTTAGGTTCGGAGTCGACGGTCGGCGCGCTCCTCTCTCCTCTCTCCCCGCTCCTCGCTCCACGCTCGTCGGCCGGGGGTTGTTTCTCCAGCAGCCAGGGGTGGAGGATCGATTCGAAGCCTGCGCCGTGTCCCTTATGATTTCTACGGTTGTCCCTAAGGGTTCTCCTGTTCCCGTTCTCTCCTGCTCTTGGAGAATCGCGACTTCGTGCAGGTCATGCGCTCTTTACGTTCAGAGAGCCACCTTCTTATGCTCTTAAGATTGTTCATCCTCCCGAATAAGAACGCAGCGATAAAAGCAGCAATTAAAATAATACGGATTTTTCATCCTTACTCGAAACGGAACTTCACATCGTGACTCACGTCACTTTAATTGCGAAATCATCCGGCTGACTCTTTGTTCTTGCAAATAGGTGCCTGAGAGTCTATTTTACGAGAAATAGAAATTTATGAGAGCGCGCAAACGACGAACCGAGAATACACAGTTTCCAGGAGACGAGGAATTTCCTTATCAGCTAATTCACGGTACGAGAGCCATTTGCTCGTGTCGTCGGGTGTCTCTTCTGGTCAATTACAATGCTGCTCTGCACGTGCATGGGATTCTCCCGTTCAGTCATAAACGACTAACCGACTTTTCGGGGTATGGAGCCCTGAATTGGAATGAGGGTCGCTTCGCTGATGACGTCAGAGGGCGGGCTGTAAAGACGGGTCAAGTTCACGCCGAGGTCACTGAGGGTCGCACGAGTTCAGCCGAGGGCGCGCACCCCCGGGAAACTCGGTCGGAGCTTCGAGTCTACAGCTGTGCCTTCTCGTCGCCTTGACAACGCTGAAGCGCTATCGGCACTTAGGTCTGGTCCTCATTAGTGTAGCCTGACGATGCTTCCCATACGAGGACCTGAGGAGATCTACTGGCTCAACAGGAACACCGGAGAGGTGTGATAATTAAATGAAGTCGAAATATTGTAACTAACAAGAATTTACTAACATTGTTCACACTGACAACGAAAAGATACATGCATGTAAAAAGCATTTTCTTGATACTTCAAACTAAACTAAATACTGTTATGTTTTTTATGGTGAAAGCGCGGGAAAGAATTCGCTTTTATATCGATATAACTAATTTACTTAGTATTACTTTAGATCGACACGACCATATTAGAGGATTCGATCCTTGAGTCAACAATAATTAGTGCTAGTCATCAAATATATAGAGTATTCTTGAGATCACTGTTAAAAAAATTTTATAAAATTTTTTTTATAATTACTAGAGAGATATTAAATAAAACAAGTGCCTTTGAAAATAAATTGATTAAAGTCTGGAAGAATTCCTACGCAAATGTAAATACAATAAAAAAAGTTTACAACAATTATGATACATGTTATACCTAGAGTCTTAATATCAGCAATCGTCTCAACGAACGAGTAACAAAATCTCTTGTGACGCATATAGGCACTTTAAACCTTATAGCCATTTTGCGCATCGATTAGCACGTCTTATTCGATCCCGCTTCGCCGAATGATGCTCCATAGATTCGTTCTATGTCATACTCTTTGTTCACTTATTTTGTCTCGCTCAATACCTAATTATACGATAATATCCAACGTAAATCGCTTCGAATCGATATCGATCGACACAGTTATCACTCTCCCATTTTTGAAATAGGTCGTTCCGATCTATCAATAATGACGCTTAAAAATGATAGGTTATGATAACGGACTTTTGTACCAATCGAATGAATGCATTAAAGACCGTATCGACGTTTAATTGTGTTCTAATATTATGTCTAAGGATAAGGCAAACAACAACGTAATTCCAACTATCTTGTACAAGGTGTGTATAGCTGCCACAATTGGACTATATCATTCTGACTATTGCCGAATGTCTAATGACTATTAAAGTACACATCAACGGTAACTTAATATACTTGATAGATAAGGTAGACTGAGATGGTGGCATTAGCTGAAAATGTCGTTCCGCAACACTTGCAGTCTCATTTTAAATGAAGAAGTTTGCGATAAATACGATAATATACGATGCACAATAAATAATGGAGGTGGGTCGTTGTCTCTAATTCTCTACAGTATTCTAAATCCTACATAGCTACAAATCTATTTCACTATTCGATTACTAGCTCCTCGTGGAAGTGTACAAAGTCATGTTTTACCGGGATTCAATACCCATATGTCTCGATTAATGATCAATACCATCTCAGTTAATTATATCAAATATTTGTTTGCACCATCGTTACAGTCTTCTTGTATTAAAATCTTGTTGATCCTAAGCATTCATCATTCATTTTCGCAATACAAAGATTATTCGTTTCATGTTTCGTTACTATTGCATGAAAGATCGTTTGTCAGTTCATTCGCAAAAAAGAGTACTCTAACTGTAAGTACAAACGTCATTGGCATGCATAGTCGTACTAACATTTCCTTCACAAGGAAGTGGTAGTATTTTTATAAAATATCTGACCAAATAAATGTCCATGGGATTTGTATTCTGTCTTTTAACTTTAATCAGTTCTAAGGATATACTACGTGTACCACTTGGCATTGGTAATCGCTGAAGACTAATTCTTTAACTTTTTGCCATTCTAAAACACTAATTGCTAGAATAATCGTTTCACGCGTTATAGGATGGAACAAATGCACAGGCCCATCACTATCATACCCAACATACATGTCAGATCCTTCTTGATGCTGGGATCTCTCATACCAGATCCTGGAAGATTAGGAATGCCTCGCCATCGCAGTGACCCGAGTGCTAGGACAACATGAAGAATGTCTGGGATCATGAAACCCAAATCACGAACGACCTAGAAATTAAATTAATGAGAAAGTATTCAAGAGATTTACAGCATTTCTTGACAATGAATTTTATCAATTGATACTTCACCTGATGCGCGTATCCTTCGCCTCTCACGACATTTCTAATAAACTGATCCCAACTACCGGCGAGAATGTGCAAAATAGCAATCGCAGCAATGCCAAATGCTTTTCTATGCGTGACAGGATTTTGAGAGTCAGCCAAGTGAACGACGAGAAATGTGGAGATCAACTCAGTGATGGAGAAAAAGAGTTGATGATACCACTGGGAATAAAAGTCGTCGTTCCAGTAATTAATGTAAACCCACCAAGAGTAGTAATGGGAAAAAACAGCAGTCGAAAAAAGGATCAGCATTCCAAATCGTAGACGACCCTGAAGAGCAAGCCATGTTAAATATTTCACTGTCTCGTAAAACGTGATCACACCAATTACAACTGTGAACCATATCTTCAAGGTGTTGGATGTGGCATTGAAATACATGTGTTTGTACGAAGCAATGCCAGATTCATATGATCCTGGAAGAAAATTAAAATATAGAGATGTAGAATCATCGATTGATGCTGTACTAAAATTGGTTCCTACCCTTGAACACTGTGTCCCAGCATGAACAGGAACAGTATTGCTTGTCTACATCTCGTGAGAATTCTTGCCAGAAATGGTACAAAAAAGCAATGTGTAAAGGAGGAATCGTCAATGGAGCTAAAATGCCTGCTGCCTTAGAACCACAGCTCACAAAATTTGGACACACCCAGCGCCTGAACATCCTCATTTGTTTTGAGATAACTTTTATGATAATTTTACTTATACGTATCTGCATTGATTTTCATACAGAAGATATTTGTATATCCAAAGATGTCAGGAAAAGCATTGCGCTGAGCAGCTTTACTCTGGCTCTTGATTTTCAATAGTATCATTGCTAAACCATGTTCTAGTCAACAAAAGGTATACCATCTTAGGTTTCTGAAATAATATTTCAATAGTTTTTGTTAGTATTATTAAGAGTATTGATGAAGGAAAAGTACTAAATATATTATAAGGGAAACAACAGTGCAACCAGAGAAAGTAGAGCTTCGGAATGATAAAACATTCTTAAAGAATAGCGTGTAATTAAGAAGGGTGGTAAAGATCATTGGCACTGTACCCACTGAAATCTTGCTGTCTGGCACTCAACAGTAAGTCACTATGATGCTAGTGAACGAGATAAAACTCAGAAAGGACTTAAAAACGCCATTAGAGCTTTGATTTTGGATAGTAATTGTACAGCTCGTCTCTGATGTACCAGACGAAAAACTAACTTAATGTGGAAGCACAACTTGTTAATTTTTCTTTAATTTATATTTAGACCAATTTAGACTCGTGCGGATTACGTCATAATGATTATCGCTCATTAAACACGTAAACTCGCGTGAGCGCCGATTTGCGGCACTTCGTATTTCCAATATTTTGACTCTCTCACCATATTTCTAACAGATGTTTATTTTAATAAACGAAGCAATGTGAAGGAATGCTGACGGCCGATAAGCGCCTAGCATCGGCCTCCATATTGTTTATTTTTTAAATTTTATACATCGTTCTAATCTGGCTGTTTGAGCACCGCTCACCACGTCGCACAGACTGGCGCAGACCCACCACACACAAAACTGCAGCCACAAGCTTCACCCCTCCTGACAAAATCAGTGTAATAATACACACATCTTATAAATTACATCTGACGTACAGAAATGTCACCAACAATACCACAGGCGAAAAATTGGCGCGAGCATAATCGCATTCATAAGGAGCAAAGAAAGAAATGGAGAGAAGAGAGGTTAATAAAGAAAGTGAAGCACGAGGAAAGTGAGAAACTCGAGGAAACGAAGAAAGCTGATGACAGGCAATCTATTAAAAAAGTGAATATTTCCACTGTGAGCATCGCCGTGCCGGGTTCTATACTAGATAACGCACAGTCCCCAGAACTACGAACTTATCTGGCGGGTCAAATTGCACGTGCTGCTTGTATATACAAAGTGGATGAGGTTATAGTCTTTGATGACAAGGGAGAGATAACGGAAAGCGAGAAGAAGAAATTAAGGAAAGATGACGTTCTTGGTGAAGGACGAGTTGGTTGCATTCAACTCGCTAGGATATTGCAGTATCTGGAATGTCCTCAGTATTTGCGAAAATATTTCTTCCCTCTGCACAAAGATCTGCAATACGCAGGGCTGTTAAATCCTTTGGATGCGCCTCATCATTTGAGACAACAGGATGTTTCCCTATTTCGCGAGGGTGTCGTCACAAATAAACCGATTAAAACTGGTAAAGGTTCTCAAGTTAATGTGGGATTACTCAATGATGTTCATGTGGATAAAGTGTTGACTTCCGGCATACGTGTTACGGTTAAAATTTCTCCTGATCAGGACAATGCAAAAAAGATAAAAGGACTTGTGGTGCCACCGAACATACCCATAGCGGAAACTGGAATATACTGGGGATATACAGTTAGATTGGCCAATAATTTGACTGAAATCTTTTCAAAGTGTCCTTATGCAGAAGGATATGATTTATCTATCGGAACATCCGATAAAGGAACTTCTATCGATGACATTACACCAAGAAGTTTAGAGTATAATCATGCATTGATTGTATTTGGTGGATTATCAGGCTTAGAAGCTGCTCTAGATGTGGATGATCATTTAAATGTTGATGATCCTTGTTTGCTTTTTCATAAATATTTAAATACATGCCCTATGCAAGGCTCAAGAACTATCAGAACAGAGGAAGCCATTCTAGTGTCACTGGCTGAATTAAGGAGTAAGTTAGCTCCAAAATATACACCAGTTTTAAGCTCAGAATTTAGTAGTTTTATAGAAAAACAAAAGCCTGATAATTTAAACACAACTGAGGAAACTCATAAAGATGATACGAATGCATATAACTCAGATGATGATTCGTCTGAGTGACTCAAGTTATATGCATAAAGAAGTGTATTAGCGACTCATCACAACATTGTATAGTAACCACCTTTTATTATACAGAAATATTGTTAATAAAACAGTACAAAAGTGTTAACCTTCAGGAATGTTAACGTATATCGTGCACCTTAAAATATTCCTTACTTTATATTTTAATTTGTACTTAATGCAGAATTGACAGTGTCTTTTAAATTTGCTATAACTTGGGCTGGATTGTCAGATCCTATGACTGCAGTTCCTGATACAATCATATTGGCACCAGCCTGAAAAAAAAATGTCTCAATTTCTGGATACACATTTCTGTTACCTGGAACGCTTATTTTAGTCTTATAGACTTACTTCTGCACAAGCATGTATCGTACTAGGTCCTACACCACCATCCACTTCAATATCTAGCGTAGGATAATGTTGTCTGAGCCATGAAACTTTTTTCATCATTGATTCCATAAATTTCTGTCCACCAAATCCTGGTTCTACTGTCATGACTAATACCATATCTGCTAAATCCACATAATTAACAACAACATCAGCTGGAGTTCCAGGCTTTAGTGCTACACCTACCTGTATGAAGAAAGGAATTCAAATATACGAAATAAATTGTGTTTCTTTAATGCATACCTTCATACCAGCTTCTCGGACTTTTCTACAAACTGAAGAAACATTTTCTACCGGTTCCACGTGAAACGTGTACAGGTCGACTCCAGCATCAGCCATGGGCTCGATCCACTGTAATTAACGATTGTATACATATGGAAAATAAAAGAATAACTGAATAAGTGCATCAGCATTACCTGCTCAGGATTTGAAACCATCATATGCGTTTCGAAAAAAGCATCCTTTATTTTATTTCTAAGACACTTGACGAGAGGATGACCAAAAGTAAGGTTGGGCACAAAATGCCCATCCATAACATCCAAATGAAGATAATCTGCACCGTTGTCCAGGAGTCGCTGTGACTCGACGGAAAGCTCCGAAAGATCAGCATTCAAGATCGAGGGTCCGATTTTGGCAGACAACTTTTTAGCCATTTTCAAGAAACCGCCACGCGCTCCGAATTTGAACGTTTAAAGGGTAAAAGTGGAGGACGTTCATTATCGCTACCATTTTTATAGATTCCCTGGTATTTCATGCAGGCGACCAATATTAGAAGCAAAAGTTTCTAGGCCCAATAATTCTCCATGATCTCTACTGTACGCAGGTCATCCTCCATCGATTCTCTCTCCAAATTTGAGCCTTCTTCTCTGGCAATGTAATGTCCAACTCTGATACATTTTCTCTGACTCCCATCTAATTCAACCCGCGTTACCAAGCCCTCATTCATTTTGGTAAAAAATGATGTAACTGCAATGTCATATCTTTAGCGTGAAATCAAATTAAAGCTTATTGAACGAAGCGGCTCGCCGTGCATATTGAAAGAGAGAAACTGGTAAAATATCGCTGTTATTATTGATTGTAATAAATGCTTCAAAAATTCTTTCAGAATAATCTGCCCTTTTCTGCAACCAAATTCGGCACAATGATTGTTCAATATTTTCAAGGTCGGAAGTGCAATGACGTTATATGCGACGTCAGTACCGGTAAAATATTTGTACCAATAGGACACGGTGGGAGATAAAGTGGGGGTGCCTTTGGCTCGAACGCCTAGGCTCCTGTCCAGACCGCCAAGTGTCTGGCAGGCGTCAAGTTGGAGCACCCGCTTGTTCGTCGTTTATCCACTCTTTGTGATTTGCTTGTGCTTCCAACATCATGAAATACATTTTGGTGACCGGGGGCGTGATCAGCGGAGTCGGCAAGGGTGTTATTGCAAGTTCTTTTGGAACAATACTAAAAAATTGCGGCATTCCTGTGACATCTATCAAGATTGATCCATATATAAATATAGACGCCGGCACATTTTCACCTTATGAACATGGTAATATGTTCTTCGACATCATTTTATTCTATCGTTGCTCTATTTGTTTCTCCACAAGTCACACATTTCTTCGACTTCGAAACTTCGATCGACCATGTGGCGTGCTCAGATCTGCTTCAGCCATTCCATGTAGCTCGCGCGCCGTTTCACAATCACGTGATAACCGGGAGAAGCGCTCTCTTACTCACTTCCGACGAAAACGTGCTACATTGGGTTTGTTCTCATTACCAACACTGTGCACTTTTCAAAAGGTGCAAATTCTTATTGGATGATATTTTTAAGTAACCGATGAAAACTTGCCCTGTTCGAAAAGTGCAGAATGTGTAGGTAACGAGAACAAACCTACTAGGAACGTTTTTCGAAATCGTTTTATCAAATCTACTATAAATTGGACAGTAATTTTATAAAGTGTTGACCACGAATAATTTTTATTCCCAGTATCCAAACTACATTATAGATCCGTATTTATAGTCAGTGCTTGAGACAAAGCACAGTCTTAAGACCATAGATATAGTAATAATAACACATGGAAGAGGATGTTAAGATCGTTTTTAAAATGAATAACTGAATATTATATGAATACGAGACATAGATTAGATATCATAATTTATAATCAAAGTGCTCGTATCCAAACAATAAATTCTTTTGCACTTTTAAAATATAAGGATGTTTTTGTTAGTATCACATGGGCTAGTGATAAGGTCCATAGTTTATGTATTTCAATAATGTTCTTTGGCTCACTATTACCGAACACTTGCAGGTGAGGTTTACGTTTTGGACGACGGAGGCGAGGTTGATCTTGATTTAGGTAATTACGAACGTTTCCTGGACGTTACGCTTCATAGAGATAATAATATAACGACTGGGAAAATCTATCAATCTGTTATTAATAAGGAGAGAAAGGGCGACTATCTTGGAAAGACTGTACAAGGTGAGTCTCACTTGGATCAATAGATTCAATGACTTTCTTTTTATATTTTTTAATATATTTTATTTTATTTTGTTTGTATCACGTTCCAGTCGTTCCACATATCACAGATGCAATTCAAGAATGGGTAGATAGAGTTGGTAATGAATCAGTAACTCAAGATGGAAGCAAACCAGTCGTAATTATTTTTTCTTTTTTTACACTGTTAAGCACACTTATGAAAATGATTACAGATTGTACTTAAAATTGTTAGGTCTGCATTGTGGAGCTCGGCGGCACTATCGGAGACATCGAAGGCATGCCTTTTGTAGAAGCATTCAGGCAGTTTCAATTTCGCGTAAAGAAGGAAAACTTTTGTTGCGCTCATGTATCTCTGGTGCCGCAGGTAAAAATTACTTACGCTGCATCTCATTTTCCTTTGTGTCACTACGGCTCGTTACTATCCACTAAACAAAGTTGACCCTGAATTTGCGCCAGCAGTAGTGTAGATTTATTTTTGGCTGACCAGATTACGTAACTTTTATTTACATGCGTATTGCTCGTTCATAAGCGCTCGTTCGATTTCCACGCAATAGTGATACTCCGACGTTAACTACCGAATCACTTGTAATACCCAGCGCTGAGTTAATAAGAGCGATGAAATCATAAACTTTTTACAAATTTTAGCCACGCTCAACAGGGGAACCGAAAACAAAACCGACCCAATCGAGCGTAAGGGAATTACGTGGATTGGGCTTATCACCAGATTTAATAGTGTGTCGATCTGAAAAGCCTATCGGCGATTCGGTTAAAGAAAAAATTTCAAACTTCTGTCACGTCGCTCCTGAGCAGGTAAAATATTTGGTTTTTATCTGATTAGCTAGATAGATCTAAAAGAATCAATAATTGTAGGTTCTTACGATTCATGATTTGTCATCGATCTACCGGGTTCCGCTTCTGATGGAAAGTCAAGGAATCATCGAATTTCTCAATGACAGACTTCAATTAAACATAGTGATGCCAAGGCCACGTTACTTCATGCGCAAATGGAGAGATCTTGCCGAGCGCATCGATCATTTGCGCAAAGAAGTAAATATTGCACTTGTCGGGAAATACACCAAACTAGAAGACTCTTATGCCTCTGTGACTAAAGCGTTACAGCACGCATCTGTCGAAGTAGGATACAGAGTAAAATTAACGGTAAGTAAACGATATATTTTCACGTAAACAAATTGAATGTATCCGCTACAATGATTAATATTTCGTTCAGTATATCGAAGCAGCAAATTTGGAACAGGCCATGAAACAAGAAAATCCAGTATTATATCACGAAGCTTGGCAACAACTTTGCAAGAGCAAGTGAGTTCTCTTTTTTTTTTTATGTAACTCTCCTTTTACTCAGCTGTTAATACACGTACCAATAGAATAATATGGTAGTAATAATTAATACCATTCCTTATCTTAACAGTGGTGTGATAGTTCCTGGTGGGTTTGGAAAAAGAGGCATCGAGGGTAAGATAGAAGCGTGCAAATGGTGCCGTATGAACGATAAGCCTTTCCTTGGTATTTGTATGGGATTACAAGCGGCTGTTATCGAATTCGGTCGTAACGTCTTGGGCGTGGCAGGCGCCAATAGCACAGAAATTGATCAATACACAGATCATCCAATTGTTATTGATATGCCTGAACATAATCCAGGTCAAATGGGTGGAACGATGAGACTGGGCAAAAGATACACTCGTTTCACTGCAGCCAATTCCATAATCAGTAAGCATATTTATCGAGATTACAAGTCACAAATATGCTGGACATACTCTATAAAACTTCTCTTTATTTACTAGAACAATTATATGGCAATAAAGAGGGTGTCGAAGAGAGGCACCGACATCGGTACGAAGTCAATCCAAAGTACGTTGATGACTTGGAGACAGCGGGTCTGAAATTCGTAGGTAAGAATTATTAAGAAAAAATTAACACTCGAATGCTTGCTATGATTCGCAATGGAGAAGAGAAAGGTACATAAATTTATAAATGGTAGGTCACGACGATGAAAAGGTTCGAATGGAAATAATCGAACTCGAAGGACATAGTTACTATGTTGCCACACAATTTCATCCAGAGTATTTATCAAGACCTTTGAAACCCTCTCCACCGTTCCTGGGTCTCATCTTAGCCAGTGTAGGAAAGTTAAAAAATTACTTAGCTAGGGGTTGCAGACTTTCACCTCGACAACTCAGTGACAACGAGTCGGGTAAGATATTACTTTTTCCCATCGTTGAAATTCTCAAATATCCATAATTTATATTGTATAACATAACAGAACTTTCTTTTAGATGAGGATTATCCAATAGATCCCTTAGTCAAATTACAGATATCCGGTACGTCGAGTAATGGTAGTACATGTTCAAGTAATTAATTGTTGCAATATTCTGAAATTTGCATACGAGATAAGATTATAATTATGGAACGTAGTTAAAACTATTTCACATAAACTCAATGTTCGTCCAGGTCTCCTTACTGTTTGCTCAATCATTTGCGAAGGTGCTCAGTACTCATTATTATATTCCAATCCAATGTTTAGTACTGCAGTTGTTTTAAAAAAGATCTGAATGGAGTTTTATATAATCATCGTTAATATCAGATTTAATTTTTAATTTATTGTGTTCAATGGTCGATATTTTTATTTTTGATCTCGATTCGCATGTCTACTTCCGATCCAAGTTTAGGCAAATTTTATCACTCATTCAGTTGTCATATCCAATAAAGGAGAAAAACACATGATGAGCGTGCACTTAATTGCTTTACGGCACATCAAAATCATGTGTCGTTAGGCTAAATTCGTATGTAATGTTGTTGACCTAGCATATGGAAATTGAAGATACACATCCTTTACACATAAGTGCATTGTAACTTTATAATCATTTAAGTTTAATGAATAGTGTATTGCTCTTATTAAATATATACCTTTTGTATTATTTACCATAAGTTGTTCGTTGACATTGCTTTTTCTTCATGCCCTTGTACGATGTCCACTCGTGTACCATAAATCCAGGAAAGTTCTTTCCTAAGAAGCTTGTACCATTTAGAGAAAAGATAAATAAGTAAAATGGAACGAAAATATTAATCAGTATTTTCATGAATGCAACTAAAGAAAGGAACGAGAATGTATGTACTAAAATGATTTATTACAAATACGACAAACTGTACACTGATTCATCCAATTGGTTTTCTACCCGTTAAAAAGTGCTATAAATCCAGTAAACAAAGTTTCATCTGCTAGTGAATATATTGGCTAATCGTGCAACATTGCAAAATTCAAACTTAAATTTGAGCTTTCTACACCGCATTACAGTATTTAAAAAAGATTTCACTAAAAGCCAGGACCTTGTTGAGTCATTTGAAGGCACAATTACTAGGAAGTCATTCGTATTTTTCAGAAATTAATTCGCTTCTCGAGTAGAAGTCTGATGATTACGTATATCTTATGCGTTTCATTTTATTGATCTCACTTGTTTTGCAGCGAGTATGCCAGTATAATCGCAGATGATGCACAATTTGTTAATACGGGTGTGGAATGTATAATTAGACGATGATATGATGCAAGGATTGATTGCAAATATTTGTTCATAGTATTGAATAGTAATTGACGTTAATCACTATAGATGGAAAATAAAATTTCAGTAATAGTGTCAAATGATAACTCATCGTTTTGGAATGTATTAGAATTCTGTATACTTTTATTGTTTTTGTTTTCAATTTCAATCCATATCGCATTAAATATCGAGTCAGAAACATAGAATAATGGTAAAAAATAAGAGTGCTATTCTCATATCAAAATGGCGTATGTACAAACGCAGGCAAACCAGACGCAGTGTGTCCACCTTGCGTAATTTGTTTCGTTAAGTGTGTCAGTACAATTACAAATAGCGTTAGACTCTACTTGTTTGATTATTGTATCGGGTCCACCCTAACGTATATTTAAGGAATAAACTAATCTCAAACTCTGCAAAAAAATAAACAGAATAATAAAAGAAATAAAAAATGCTAAATGCACTTTGGACGGTAAACATTACAACTAAGTCAGAGAACATCAAAGAAAAATAAAATTAGTTATTTACGGACGATTTTCTTTATCTTCTTTGTACATTAACAGATGTTTCAAACTCTTGCCGATCTTTTTTTTTTAATGTCTTAAATGTAGACCAGCTGTTAAAGATAAAGAAACGAAGATATTAATAATTTTCAAACGAGATTCATATATTAGAGATTAAAAATGATTCGTAAGTAATATCTAGGCGCCTAATATAATTAAGAAAGAAGTAAAATGGTAAAAGCTAATCAATCTCGTGAAATTTCAGATGATTCGTCTCTTCAATTGGCATTCTATCCTACGCACGATAAATACGCCAATGTCAAAATCTAGAAGAGCCGAACCATGCACATTTCATTTTCCGCTGTTACACACGTAGACTTCTTGATGGCGATTCGTGACAATAGCAAAATGGGCAACAGCGATCGCAATGATATTTGGGTCTTCAGTTTTGGAAATACGATGTCCTCGATCTAAGCACGGATCAATCTGTTATTACCAGATTTAAAAAAATCCAGCATGTCAGCGTTACATATGACGCAATCCTTGCATGGATGAAAATTTTATCCATATCATAATAGATTTGTAGAATGATGACATACAAGTATCAGAAATTATTTCCAATGTATGACAGTCTAGCAGAAGAAACGATGAGAGATGAGATTGAGGTCGCAGCTGTTATGGAAATCAGAAAGTGGTTCGTGTGCTGTTAAGTCATAATCATTTTGCACTCTAGATGAACCATTCTTTTTTCTTTTGAACTTGATGACCCGTTGCCGAGTGCACAACCGCTGAATCAGGATCCAGTGCAATTTCAGCACCTTTGTCTTCCTGCGTTAAATACTCGCCTTTATGTCTGGACATATACCGTCCAATGAGGACCGCCATTATGATTAGTGCAATGAGGATAACTGTTAGTACGCTTCCTAAAATGGCCGTGTCGGTTTCATTATAGGCAGCTCTGAGCTTATCTTCGTCGACCTGAGGCGGCGGTCGAGTCTCAATGATGTTGGGCGGGTGCGTGATAGGTTCCACGCCACAGAAGTCTTCCGTCAAGGGGTCACCTAGGACACGAACGTTTCCTGGACCCTTCTGCTGGAAGAGGAGCTTGAGGGGATAGATGTCGTCGAATTCGACCCTGGAGATACAACCGGCGAATCCTTCAGTCATCGACTCGTTCTTCCCGATGTACATGTATTGAATGTTATTGAATTGAGCGTCGGCGGAGGCCTTAATGTTGAAATGGAACTCCTTTGGCTCGTAACTGTCGACCTGCATAACCAGCGTGGCGCCGGAATTCTTCCTGCTTATTCGGACATCATGATACTGTGACAATCCAAAGTGCTTTTTTGGAAAGATAACCTCCTGTCTCTCGAACCCAAAGTCAAAGACGACGCGCAAGTGACCGCTGTTCGACACCATTATCGTCATATATTCTCCGGATATATTTGAGAACAATCCCAAAAGGAATCCCTTTTGATTCGTCGTAGTGAAACCAACTCGAATCTTCTCAGCTATCGTAGAACGCCAACTGCCCATGAAGTCGTACTTGATCATAGAGCTCTCCTGCATATTGACACCAATTTCTGAAAGCAACCGATCAATTCAGTATCAAGAATGTTAAAAGCACCCATAGCTAATCAAATAGATAAAGTTTACCATCAGCGCAGATGGGACCCTTGAATGCCGTCCAACGGCAGTCGCACCAATAACCATCATATCTCTCGTGGCAGGTTCCATTGTTCAGGCAAGGACTGCTCTCGCATTTGCCAACGCAATCCTGACTGATGCCATAGAGTCCACGTCTGGCGTGGCTTCTCAAGTCTTGGAGTTGTCCATTCAGAAGAAGAGCTCTGATACATCCGACGAAACCATCTCGGTAATCAGTGGTTGCACCCACTACGAAGTCCGAGGTAAGATGCAGGGCACGGACTGGACCTGGAGGTTCTCTAACTTCGTTTTTCAATGCCCCGTCGATGACGATCCTGGCCTCCTTGCGATTCCTCTCGACCGACACCGAGTGCCAGCGATTATTTGCAAGGCTGTAGGAAGTTTGTACCGTCACGGCCAGTGGGCTGCCACCGGCCTGATATTGGAATTGAATTTGGTTTCCGCCGTTTATGGAAACTTTTATGTAATCCGTGGGACCTTTGCTATGAATAATCACAGCGTTTTCGATAGTCGTTCTGAATTCAAAGTAAATATCTCCGCTGTGACCGATGTCAAAGGTTGGCAGATTTATTGTGGCATCGACAATTCGAAAAGTCACCACGTTTGTGAATAAGTCTGAAAGAGAAAATAAGAATATGCGAGTTATTAATCAGTAAGAAGGAATCTCAAGTATCGCAAACAATCTACGTATAGAATTACATATAATATATGGCTATAATACAATAGCACTGGCGATATTCAGCATGAAATGTAATTTTCAATGAATATCTACTGTTTCTTATACACGTTATTTCTATTTCTCTTTGTCTTACCTACGGAAACCCAAGGTAACGTGGTTCCTTATAAAGAATGGAATGTTAAATATTTGAAGCCGAAAAAAACTGAATAATTAAAGAAAGGCAATGACAGAGAAAAATAATTTCTTACCATCGCCTTCGCATATCAGTGAGCTCAGCGTGTATCGCCCTTCTTTTTCGTCCAGAGGAGTACCCGTATCACCAAACCTTAACTGCTTAACCGGAAGATATTCCTTCTCAGTGATGTCGCCACCATCTTCTAACCACCCTTCGAGGCCAGAGTCGCAATTGCACCATTTTGATGGCTCAGCACAGGTACCAAGGATACCACATTCGCATTTTCGTGAACCAGGCAAGGCACCACCCCAATAATCCATTTTCTGATTGCGTCTACTCACCCACCAGGAACTAGGTCTAAAGACTTCACCCTGAGGAACTGAAGCCACCCAAACAAAATCAGAAATACTGTAAGAGAATTTTTAAATGATAAGAAAGACAAATGTATTACCTGGTGTATTAAGGAGCTTGGCGTGTTTGCAAGCGTAATTAATCCTCTGTCTGCAAGTAGTAGATCGATTAAGAAGTGCCTCAATCTGATCGAGATCAGCATCGTAATTGATATCCTGAATAAAACTGCCTGGTTCCTCAAAACCATCTACAGGAGTAGGTTGTTCGTTGCTGTGACGTAGTATTGTCAGTACTCGAGAATCGGCGTAGAATTCACAAGTCACTGGGAATGGCCGTAATGGTCCACTTCCGTCGACGTCGATCTTTATTTCTGCCTTCTGATTGACCGAATTCATGTTTTTATAGGCCTCGCACGAAAGAGGATTCACAGCTATACAAATAAGAAGACCACGTCAACATAGTCATAACAGGGCCAATATTTACAGCTTGCTGCTACCTACACGTGTGACAAACCGCTCCAGCATATCCAGTGTTTCCGCAATCACAAAAGAATTCATTGGAATTCTGACTACAGATTCCGGCGTGCTTGCATGGATTGGGGTTACATCGGTCCACCATTTGACAAGCATCAAACATGATCTCGTTCTTACAGCAATACTCATCGTCCTTCCAATTGGTAGGCAATTTGTAATTTCCATCGATACTTATCATTCTCATGCAGCCAACGAAACCACGAATGCGTGACATGCCGCCAATTGTCCCACCCACTAGATACACTGGTCCAGTGACCATATCGAGGATGCGTTTTGTCCTCATGGCTTGACCATCGACATTCACTATCAAACTATTTTTCGAAATTGTCAAAATGACTAAGTGCCACCTTCCGTCATTGAATTTCTCGTCAAAGTTATCCAAGATAACTTTAGGATTATCATTAGTTTTTATTTCCACCTTCAATTTACCCTCGTCCAGGAACAACTGCGTTAAGTAAGAGTATCTTTAGTGTCTTGATAAATGGAAGGATTAGAAAGAAAAAGAAATGGAGCTCATGCTCACCTGTACGTATCCTGGGGACGTGAACTCGTGGAAGAGGATCAACCCACGATCCTCGTAACTGCGAAAAGCAAGAGAAACGTTCATGGAATATACACCCTCGTAGCCTTTGAGCCTCGCGTAAGACCCAGGAGTTAAAAAGGTCACTGGAACAATCTGAGGTTCCGGACAGCCATAGATAATGTTGACCTTGTGATATCGAAGATTCTCTCCCGTCATTTCCGCATCTCTTAGGTCGTGAATAAGATTCGTTGAGTTTAGATAGAAATTATCAATGCATCCCGTGAAGTTCTGGTTTACCACCAAACCTTCTTGTTTATTAGGTACACCCCCTATATAAAGCTAAAAAAATAAAAAATCATATAATTTATATATTCAAGTATTCATATATATTGATATATAAGAGGAAAGATTAAGAATTCTGCATCAGGCACTTCTATAGCGCATAAACTTATACTTACAGCCCTGTTCAAGTCCAAACGATGAAATTCTCCCTTAATTCTACCCTTAATAAGTACTCTGTCGACGGAAAAGGAAATATCTTTCCTGTTTCTGGATATAAGAACGTCATGCCATATGTTGTCGTCCAAGAGACTTCCGACGGATAGGCTGGTCATTACGCCAGAGCCAAGATCGATGTTCAACAGCATCCTATTGTCGCGCAATTGCAAACCAATAAAGTCGCCTTGCGTGCCACGAGAGTACATGAGTACCCCATCTGCGTAATTTGTCTTAAAGCGGAAACTGATAGCATGCCTATCAGTTTCAATAGGGTCCCGCAAAAGATCCAAACGAACTAGAGAAAGGCCATTGAAAGAAAGTAGGTTGGACACTGCAATAAAAAGAATTGGATTTAAATAACATTATCTAGCAATTGCGTATATTGAAAATATTTCAAATATGTTGACGATCATGGATGACCGTTCGTTCATCCACTTGTTACTTACCATATTCGCATCCGTAGAGCTCAACCCTCAGGGATATCCTGTCTCTCCATCGAGTAGGATTTATTCTGATCCACTGTGCAATAATAGGCACGCCAAATCTGTTCAACTTTATAGTGTCTCCATCGATGTTTCCTTTGAACATCTAGATAACAGCGAGATCGTAATGTTTAATGCTTTCAAGGATGATTTCGTAATAACGGACAAAACACGATGAGCTCAGGTACAAAGGGCCAAATAAAAGGTCTCTTCATGCGCGATACGAAAGGTATTGAATTTTTGTTCGCGCAAATAACTCTCCTTCGAGAAACAAGTTTCGTATTTTCCAAGACGAATGAAGGTAAGACAATAAATATTGAAAAATGTGAAAAGTGACCAAAATGAACTGTTAAACCGTGAATGTGCTGAGGTGCAAGTGTGAGTTATGTGCAGGAAAAATATAAATTGCGTATATGGAGCGAACAAGGTGTTAGTGTAGCAAGAATGTTAGTAACAAAAGCACAACTTAAACATAATGGTCCAGATTCGAATGACATGAATTAATAAAATAAATATCTCCTACGTTCTCAGACACAAGTAGCTGAGACAATAAAACTGAAAAACAATTTCGTATTTTTCTTTTAATTTTTTTCAAAAGCAACGAACATTCAGTAATTACGAGAGAGAGGGCGATCTTCTCAAAGTGTCAGAGAGAGAGAGAGAGAGAGACAGATCAGCCCCTATATACTCTGTCGTAATTCGTAATATGGTATTCTCAGTCTCAGTACCTCATCGACACCATCCTGGCTCTCATAACTGGTCCAGGCCTGACCGTCATGCGAAAACTGGATGATATATTCAGTGACATATTCGTTAGTGTGAGCACGACCACGCGTTGCGATGCTGCGTATCTCGGATGTCTCGCTCAGCTCGATTGTCAGGTGTTGATCGTAACTGCTAACTTCCGGTGACCACGCGGATTCCCCTGCAAAGCCCAGCCCCATATCCGTGTGTCAGAGAAAAAAGAAGACGGAAGCAAAGCAAGATAGAAGCTATTCTAAAGGTCTTTAATTAACCAAAGCAAAGATGGATGATGGGTCTTCCGGATAAAGAGACCTCGTACGTTGGGGACAGAGCACCAACTACTCCTACTCTCAAATTAGTTTGAATCAAGGTACATTGAATCGATGGAAACTCTTTCTGAATCTCTGATTATGCACTCGGATGAAGAAAAGTACAGCTCGTGGCTTGGTCTTCTTTTTTCCCAATGTACTCCAATGTATTTTTTTATTATTCTTAATTCTAGTGCCAATTAGTAGTCCAGAGCCCCATGCCTATCACATGCACCATTGAGAGGTCTACCTACCTGAAAGTCCTCATCACAGAGTGTTTTTGAACATTGTTAGTCAAGGTATATATACAATTCCATGATGTCTAGAGGAAATAAGGCAGGCAGTAAGTCTACGTCTAGAGAAAGAGAAAGAGGAAGAGGAAGAATCCGTGCAGATGCATCCTAGTGGTGATTGTTGATGATGTGGACTAGGACGCGTTATATCCTGAGCACCGCGAACAGTTCCCATTATCGGCGTACAACGTTGTCAACTGACTATGAGAATTTCGTGGAGATGCCTCGGCTCGAGACCGGCTTACTTACCTTGACGTAGCCCTCCTCTTGTTTATAGTCGACGTAATCAAGGCCATTGGTACCATAGCTGATACCGTACTCCAGGACGAACTCGCTGTTGTGGGGTCGACCCTGAGTCGCTATCTCAGTGATGTTCATTACTTGACCCAGGTCGATTATCAGGTATTGGTCAAAGTCAGAGCTGCTAGCCGTCCATGCGTTTCCGCCTATGCCACAACACACATACGCATGCATGCAACTCAAACTGAACTTAAGGGGGATTCTAAATGTAAGGCCAGTAGGGAAGGGTAACGTGTAGCCCAAGAATAGCGGGAAGACATTCATAGGTTGTGTGGCTGGTATCCGGATATCCTGATATCTTCGTAATTTCTTCTTAAAGCACAGGAAAACTCAAAGCCATGAGAATAGACGGGATACCGAGCACTCCTACAGTAATTGATTGGCTCTGGGTAAATTAAAATATTATCTATTCATGTCGAAGAAGAGGCAAAAACAACTTCACCGGAAGAACCAAAGACGTATTTTCAATACAAAAGGAATGAGGGATTATCATTAAAGATATCACCAAAGATTATGAAAATCTATAAATAAGTCACTAACTGTGTCTTGCCACCAGAAAAAGACAGTTCATAGCAAATAAAAAGATATGAAATAACCAAGCGTCTACTCTATTCTTTAATTCTACTGATAACTGGGAAATCATATTTCTCGGTCACAGGAATGACCTTTTATCGGAGTTGAGATTCTACTCTGAATTAAGAATCGAAAACAGTTGCTACAATTTACTTCCTTATAAGAGATTGAAAATGTAGGCTAATGCCGTGACAAGATTATGCTAAACTGGTGCCGGCGGTACGGGCTCTTCTCTAACCAATCAATACTTTCAGAGAATAACATATTCGATATTCTTATTTCAGACTTTCGGCTTCAGCTGTGATTCAGCATGGATATATATACGTTATTTAGACTCTAGAAAATACCAACGCGACCAAGTTACCTCACCACCCTGAATAAGGTCTAAACGATTACAGTCTTATATATTGCTTTACGGATCCAATGTGCAATTATGTACACGATATTGAAAAGCATAAAATAGCATTTAAATAAAGTATGTATTCAATAATTCAATATATTTACTATGAGATTTATTAATCCACTGACTCTCGTATCATACAACCGTTATAATTTCTATCAGATTTATTTATACGTTTAATAAATAAGAGTTCGTGAAAAAGGAGAATATATAAAAATAAGGACATAATCGATTAACAGTATCAAGGTTTTTCAGACTTTGCAAAGTATCTGGACGAGTAGGAAGGATCCTCAGGAAAGAGCGGCACAGCGTTCGACATAAGTTCTGCGAAATCTATTTTGCGAAATTTAACGTTTTGCGACTCAGGTCTACTACCATTTTCCTGCAATGCCACAGCAACGCAGTGATCCGAATCCAGTAACGATTCCTCGAATAACCAATTTTGCTTCAGACCGTCTATATATAATTCTGTATTAGTGATCAGTTCGTGCTCGTGCAGATTGGCTTTAGTTTTGAAATTCAATTTTTGCAAATTAACAACGATCCCTACCCCAAGGGCTTTGACGTAACTCTCCTTCAGAGCCCAATGTCGACAGAACATTGCAATTTGTTCTGATTGAGGTGTTCCGACTGGTCCTCTAATTTCTTCCCATTCGGAGGTAGAGAAGTTTCTATTCATTATTCGAAAAAATTCCTTTAATTCTTTGCCTCCTGTATACTCCTCTTTCATAACATCGACCCCTAAGGTAATCTTTTTCGTTTCTCCAGCCAGCACAGTGTAACGACCATGATGGGACACATTGAATGCCACATTCCCAGGAGTAACTTCTAGGATGGGTCTGCCCCCCTCATCACGAGTGAACATAATTTTGTCATAAGGAACTTTCACATACTCATTTACAAATTTTCGCATAAGTAATCTGCCTATGAGGGAGGCTCTGCTGTCCTTTCGAAAAACAAATCTTCCTAATCTTTCTTTTTCATCCAATTGGATACATGATATCGCATAAGAGAACTCTTCCACAGTTGGGTTCCAGTCAGCCCAATTGAATGCCCATCTAACACCACTTGGAGCCATTTTAGCCATGTTTAATATGAGCTTACACATGTATGTTTCTTTCTATGGTCTAATATTTTCAGTCTCTGTACTATTGATACACTCTGTGGCATCTACAAGGTGGCCGGTTACTTCCTAGGATCCACCTGAAGCAGATAGATAGCTCAGCTTACTTTCAAGTCTCTTAACTCTATCTATAAAATGAGAGTGATGCTCTCGTATGTGACCTCTCAGAAATATATAACGATTGTATGTGAGTCAGTGAGTAACCATTTGACATCTTAAATAGTCATAATCGCGTGTGGGTGTACTGAATTGTACATACAAGTATGCTTTCGTTTAAGGTTGGATATCTAGAATTTTTTAATCATACGTATAAACACACATAGAGAAAAAATATGAAATCTTTAAACGTGCTAGAAAAGAGAAGAAAACTTGAGGTTCGCGAAAAATTTTGCAAACAAACAAAAAAAGCATACAAACTATGGATACATAAAAATAAATCCCAGTTGTATTTACGCGATGGAAGAATCACTGACAGTTGCGATTCTTATACTGCACCTTTTCAAATTTATGCAATCAACTATATATCCAAAGATTATGAGGAATTACGAAATTTACCATTGAGCCTAGCATTCTTAGGACCTCTTTCAGGCAGAGAAGTTGTGGCCTTCAGCTGGGCTCTGTCAAGTAAGGGCAGGTTGCAACCGTAATCATCTGAAATGACAAAACCATTGTTCGGCATCAGACGCATCAAGTCGTCACTTAATGATTATACAATGAGTCAATTTTACATATTCGTCACATAAGCGCATTACGCATCGAGGGACTTGCAATTCAGGATAATCAAGGGTAACGTAAGGAGAATCTTATATAATACTTGCAAGTAACAGGCTCACGAGAGCCTCATGATAATATAAAGACTGTAAAGTGCATCCGTTTTATATGGGCTTGGTCAGGTTTCGGCATTCGAATTAGTAAACAACATTGAGAATCCTAAGACATATCGACGCGCTATTCGCCTTGACATGAAATGAATTCAAAGATACATGTCTAACAACGATTACTCAAAATCATATTAAAAATCATCAAGGGAGAGATAGGACATTGTCAAGGAACGTAGGAATATTCCCGTTATTCTCCAGACTGTCAGTTATGATGCGCCATGTTGCTTGAGTGGGCTTGGTCGGAACTCGGAAGAGTCACGCTCGAGAAATGCCATCGCACTGCCAATATTTGATGACGTAAAGAATCGTTGCAGACTCACATGCTCTAGTTAAAGGGGCTCCTGCCACCGCGAATAGAAGAATTAAATATTTCAGAGTCATCATGGTAACATTGCCCTGATGAAATCTTGGTTACACCCTATAGAAGACGCGTTTTCTCTTTCACTCGACTGCAGTTACATTCACTCACTGACCGTCGCTCACTACCACTCACTACTGCTCACTACGCAAGGAGCGTACTGACACATATCACTGAATGAAAGACGCTTCACTCGTAACAATATTGTACGACGCCTTTAATATCGACTGAAGTCGACGCGAATCGACCGCTCGATTAGAATCGATACTTGCTGTCGGGTTCTAGCAGTCGAAGCGCTCTGGCGCTTAGCCCAAAGGACGGTAGATGGTAATGGCGTCGTCGAGACGTTATTCGTTGTAAAAAGATCGGCAAGGTAGACACCGATAGGACGACCTATGTAACTAACTGACTTTGGCTACTACTCGCTGCCCTTGCCTGTGATTTGAAAATTTTCTATCTACGGTGATGCAAAAATACAGTCACCAATGGATGTACCTTGTCCTTTGTCCTGTTATATCTCGGTTGAACGAGAATCTTCATCCAGACCTACTGTAGACTGTGAGTAACCTTGACAACTTGTTCTAAGTAGCCTAGCCATACTTCGTCTCTATGACGGAAAATGTTTTGAATTAATAATTATTACTATTTTTCTTGCAATTCATTAATCGACAATGCGCAATATTGGATTATGTATATGTATACGCATCAGGCAGTACGTATTAATTAAACACTGCTTACGACAGACAGTGATTATGACGGTACATAGTTTCACGACAAAAACATTCATTAGAATCTCAATTACTGGAATTAGTCGAGACGTTACAAATTATGCGTTATTGAAGATTTTAGAACTACACTGCTACTGTACGGCTTTGTATCATCAATATAGCAAGTTCTTCCACTTTGGAAATGTCTGTTTCTCTGCTATTCTCATATTTTTAAAATGTACCTCTTTAATATTTTTTCTTATCTAACTCTCATAACTTACTGTCTTTTTTTTATAATTGTTCAAGTTTACGGACTATCTTGTTTCATAAAAATTTCTCTTAGGACAATTCATTGTTATCCGATTATATTATTATTATATATTCTACTACGACTACTGCCGAACGAAGATGCAAACAATAATTAGGCCAAGGGGTTTTTGATGACGTTCGATTTGTCAAAAGTTTATACGGCTATAGCCGTTTACATTACCATCGATTATTAAACATTTCCTCTCTGTCGGACATACATACAGATTTCTACAGAGATGCAAGATTGAGCTTATAGCAGTATCTCCCATATGATGGCATATTTAAGCAAACATTCGTATCTCCCAAAATCCAAGGATATAGTTATGTATCTTCTCTAATTTTATGTCTTGAAAAAGATATGAAGTATATTATCTCTCGTGTGTTATGTGCATGGAAGGGAACTCCTCCATAAAACATATTAAGTCTTTCTACGACGAGATTGAGAATAATTTGTTCGTGCTCATTTTTTTGCCATTCTTGTGGCCTGTGTCTCACGTAGCGACGCATAAAAGAGCTCACGCATGAAAACTGATGAAAACGCATAAAACGACCGTGCATATAAGACTGGTATAACTGCACTAGCATAAACAAAGTGATGGGCGAGTCTTATATGTTACATTCAAAGACAGAAATGGACGTGACCTGTTTGCCCTTTGCATCATTATCAGTTCACCGATTGTATCCGTGGAATCAACATTCCGTTATTGTTTATACGGACTATATTTAACTACGATTTCCGCATAGGTCAGATAATAAAATGAGCAGAATGTACAAATTTTAGTTAATTAGCTATTTACTGTACTGTACTTAGTACAGTCGGGCCGTGAAGTTGAGGGGCCATTTTCGTATGAGTTAAACGTAAGTCCCCTCAAAGTAGAATTGATGCCGCGGCCCGACTATAGAACTGGGGGAGATACGTTATAACGCGTCTGCACGTTGAATATCCGATTGGCGTCGTTCAGCTGATTTCTATATTTTACTTATCTTTTTTTCAGTTGATCGATTATTGCCACAGAGGCTCGTCGCGCAAATGACTTTTGTGCTGCTGATATTAGGCTCTTTTTAAATGTACAATGTGTGTACCGCACACTGTTACGACTTGATGAGGGACTCATTAATAAACAAATCAACGTAGCAACCGTCATGCAGTCACTAATGTTGGTATGTTTCATATGTATATACATATATATATATGTTTTTGCATGACGTCTCGTGCTTTCTTTTTGCCGCTATTTGCGTCATTGTACCTGATTAATAAGCACGTTATTAAATGAGCAGCCACCTGTACCAATGAGATGCTGCGCGGGCATGTATACCATTGCTATTCGAGGAGATGATCATTTGTCATTGCTGAAGATGCCGCAAAAGTTAGGAGAAAAAACAGCCAACAGAAGATCGCTGATTGAAACTGCGTGCGGTGGTGGCGCTGCATGCGAGCTTGCACGGCGACCTTATGCTGCCTGTTTTTCTGCTAACTTCTGCGACATTTCATAATGTGCGACGTAAGCTGACGATAATATTGTTTATTTCATTGAAGTATCTATTATTAACAATTTTCGCAATGAACTTTGATTGACTGTTTGTCTCCATGTTTATGGGCTGATCAATTCATAAGCTTTGGTTTATTTCTGATTCATTATGATTCGAGTGTTGTGGCTAGTAAATTTTTCATGATATCGTGTTTCTTAATTAGATTTAAATAATTAGCCAGCATTACTCTCGTTATCTATGCTCGATAGGCGATATCGAATTTTCATGAGATCGACTCCCATTAATGGCTAATTTGCGTCGCAATAGATTTGCATCTCCTCGGATGTGAATACGTTTAGCATTTCAATTAAAATTTCGCTTAATAAAATGGCGAAGAATGGCAAAATAATGCGGTGACATTTTTTGTCTTGATATAAAAATCGCAAGCGTCCCTGATGAATAAGACGTTACAGATTATCCTGTCCGACGTCGCGTGTCGAGGATCGTGAAAATGACGATGATCACTGGCCATCATTACATTCGGAGGCTGTCAATTACCAATTGTATAAAAATATTTTCCTGCTATCCCAGTAGCGAGTAGCGTACTGACTAACGTAGTACCTACGAATTGAAACTTTAACAGGAAGGTCCTTAGCGTCCTTTGCGAATGATCATACGTATACAGTAATAAAGCAAATTGGGGCAGATGATATTACTAGCGTCATAGGATTTAAAGATCCAATCTTGCTCCATTGTATAATAAATTGCGTGAACCGAGGAATGTGTTAGTGGAATAATTAAAGTGGGATGCGTGACGCACGAAATAGTTTATAGATATCCACCTAGAAATAAAAAGTGTACTGGTATTAAATTTAGGTAGTGAGGAGCTTTGGATCTTGAATACATAAGATATGTGGAAAGTCATCCTCCTCGTGTAGCTGCGCCGTGCTTCACGGAGCTATTAAGCTGGGTGGTAGGTAAGAGCGAAATGATGTTGAGAATAAATGTAAAACCGGTCAGGGAATTCCCGCGGCCGATGTGGGTAGAAGCCTGCCGGCGTTGATATGTCCTTACGTGTCTCGCGTGCTTCTTCTGCTTCTCATGTCATTTTCACGGCACGCGTGGCGTCGCTCAATACTGCTTACATTAGCGTCTTGCCGTGGAAACTTGATATTCTCGTTTCCGAGACGAACGAGCATTCTATATCGCATCGTCGACTGTTTCACGTCTATGGGAAAAGCTCTGCGGAATATTATGGAATAAAAGGTGCTGCTCGGCAGACTATAGGAGAAAATTCGTTAGGATTCCGACAAAAGTATTCTCTTAAGAAATGTTCGGATCTCCATGGAGTCCACTCTCTAATCTCTACGCTGGGCTATTTCTGCGAGGTTATTTCAAGGTGGACTCGCTGCTGTGGGATCTCTCTCCTTTCGCTCAGAATCCAATGGCCGTGGTCAGGGCCCATAGACGTTGTTACTACGGGCCTGTAGAAATTTTTCAAATTTCTCTTACCCCGTGCTATGAGTCTCCCCTCTATTTTGAATACGTTAACAATAATATTTAGCCAATCAATATCTGAATCTCGATCTACCACGCGCCGTGATAAGATAACGCATTCCTTGGTGCAACGTCATGAGCCAGTCGTGATTATTTCTGTCGACGTCAAAAGGTACGTGTAGCTGCACTCGTACGTATACAGCGTAACGTGGAACTTTCTCGTAGGTTCAAAGAGTACGCAGTCGATGTATCGACATCGCGTGACACTCGGCAGACCTTCGCTGGTGGTCTCTCAGGCAGTGGCCTGAGAGTGAGGTTCGCTCTCGTTCTCTACACAACCCATTAAACCAATAAACGCTTAAAAGGGTCAAATAGGAAGACAATGCATTGACTAATGTGACGGCGTTACGAAGTTGCGCCATCTTGGTTTGTTCAGCTGCTCCCAAAATACATCGAAGCATAACTCTATACGCACTGCGTAACGGCATTTGAATATTAAACACTCAACTAAAATCCAGACGCTACTCGACCGATTTCACAAGCACGATTCCTGCTACGTAAGTTCAAGGTCTGTGCTTATAAATAAATATAGTGTGATCTGACTTATGAAAAAATCTCTTATCAGTCTTATTTATAATGCATCTATCGCAATACGACTCGACTTCCAGACTCCGTTTTATGCATTTGACATAGATTCAAGGCCGTAACGTCAAAACAGACTGTCGTATGACATGAACGTCGTAAACCAATCATAAGATATCTCACGTAGGCATCCTCACGATCTGGATAAGCAAACGCCAATTAAATCTTCATGCGCATGGATATTTTGACTGGAACGTTCCGGACGGAAATTTTTCAACCACAGTACGCTCTCTCGTCGTCTTCGGTGCGTTAGGTCAGTGACTCATTAAATGCGGGACAAAGTTAAAATTTACCCATAGGACGAGCTGCGTGTGAAACTGTGTTTTTTATACGCCAATTGACGCCTCGCGTCGTCATTCGATAAACACGGTGAATCTCCATAACAGCCGCATCAACTGCGTAGCTAATATTTCCCGCTAATAATTTTACAAATGACTCTTTCATTCTAATATTTACTCAATTTTCGGACTACGTTTCACATATGGATGTAACCCCATCGCAGATACGTCACGGCATATATTACAGTCATTGTCATCGTCATTAACACTTGAGGATCTACTTCTTATAGCTCAATCTTCATTAGGGAATTGTTATCAATGAATGATCGGAAAATCGTGCTGATTAATCTTTAAACTTTTTACTGCATGCCAAAGTTGTCCCTTGAGCTAATGGTAATTGGCGTGTGGATCGAATTCAAATATTGACTACAAGAGCCGCTCAGTTCCGTCATAGAACAAACACACGTATGTCATTTTCCTGTATATTTTTCGAATTGTAAATCGGGCAATTGCCAAAGATGGCTCAAGAGATTCTTGAAGGAAGAATCACCGAAATTAATGTATCAGCCTATAATTACGATAGAAAATCGAATGTCCGAAGATCAGACGTGCAGTCGCGATTTACCACGGAAATACACCATGGACGAGCGCAGTGATTATGCGAATGTGGATTCTCGATGTCTCATTAGGCGTGAAAAAGTGTTAAATTATTCAAGTAAAGGTTTGTCTTTATCGGAAAGTCGGGGAATTCCTTCGAAAATCATTTATGTTTACTGAATCTGTTTACTGAATATCGTGGGTATTCTCATACAATTAGTTGGACTTTTGACGTCACGGACCATCCCCCAGGCTGACGTTCTTTATGATAACTACAAGTCACGAAAATATGTCATGCCTCTTTATCTCTCAAAGAACCGAGTACACATACTTTCTCTCTTTCTCTCTTTTTTTTTTCTTTTTTTCTTTTCACCTACGTCTACTGCACAGTGGAGTAGAAGTTCATGATAAAGCAGCTAGAATATTGTTTCTAGACTCATGGGAGACACCTAGGATGTTCGATATATTCATTGGAGTCAAAGGGCCGAGGAGAAACCTGTTCTCCTGGTTCGCGGAGCTCGTACCTTTGGAAGTATCTGCGGGCGCTTTTTTTCCACGGAACAAGAAGCGCTGACGTTGATTCTTCGGTTCCAGGTAAATTGCATGAAACGTGCGTGCAAGACAGTTCAACAGTTCACTCGCGTCACTGCAACGTGAACTGATGGCAGTTGGTAAGATGGCAATTAGCGAATCGTTGCACCTGTGTAATGTAAATCGCTGTCGTGCCTCGCAGGTAAACTTTACGCGCGTTACGTTGGTATGCGACGACGTCAGCGGAAGGTCACGTGGAGGCGCGCGCGCGCCTATAAAAGCCAGCAGCGCGGCTCGAGCCGGCATTCGAGAGATACTGCTCGTACGGTGAACGTGCTAGATCGTTCAGCTAGATACAAGCTACACGTTGCTCGAGTCAGCGTGAGAAACGTAATAGTCTCAGAGAGAGCATCGGATATTCCGTTCGAGGCGAAGAGGAGACCAGTGAGTTCAGTGAGAAAAGTGATTGATCAGTGAAGATCATCAACAGGGAGGAACGCAAGGATATTCTTGAGAACGTACGAGGTGCAGCAGTACCAAAACTCAAACTCAAAATGTACACGAACCCGTTCAACCGCAAACACAGCACGATCCGCCAGGTGCTGGATCGACTTCTGGATCCCAGCAAGAAGCCGATCAGAAGGTCCGAGAGTGTGTCCAGCTCTGGCAGCAGCAGCTCTAATGGCAGCGGCTCCTTCGGCGGTTCGTCGCCGACCCAGAGCCGTCGTGGGATTCTGCAGTGGGGCAGGAAATGAGGGAAGAGTCCTCAAGGAAGAGCTTTCTTGCTTTGAAACGTAGGCCAAGCTGGTAGAAAAACTCGTGAAGATCGCCCCAGTCATCTGGAGGCAGCATCCAGACCGTTGAAAGCGTTAAGAAGCCAGACTTACTTTCGACGTTTCACATTCGCATCTCATGACGACTTCAAGTGGAATGAAAGACGCGTGGGAAAGCAGCCTGTAAGACACTCATCCTCATCCTGGCAATCATGGGAGACATCGTCTTGGACGAGAGGAGGACGTACGCCAGCGTAGTCCAGGAGATGGAGAACACGTTGGAGCTCCAATTGGTACGATGGAGAATGGAGAACGAAGATCGAAGAAATTCGGAATCTCGAAAGTGGCTTGGGCAGCCATTGACACGGGCAGCGATAGTTCTTGCCAGCGGGAGCTTCCCTTTTATTTATTTTTCCTCTCAATTATTTACTTCACTCATTCGTATGCTTGTCTCGTCCTGCGGCGGAAGTATCCGTTGCACGATTTGCTACTAACGTGGCTTTCAGGCACTATAAAACCCAGTCTGTTTATAACATCGGCCAATCCCACGTTGATTAAATTATTCGTTATTGCGCCATTGTCATTATCCATTAAGGAGGTGAACCAAACACTACGCCTACTTTCGTCGCGGATCGCGACGATTATTAGACGCTATAAAAATGCCATGTATTAGACATAGGAACCCTAAGGAAACTCGTTATAGGTCGCACATTGTGGACGCATAAAAGCGATCTTAATAGGAAATAGACTAATCAGGGTTCATAAATGCGATTCGAACGGATTCGCCAGTCTTTAGATTTAAGTTGCTAGTCAAGAATCAGTATTAGCCGTTTAATCGTTATAATTACGTGTTAATCGTTCTCACGATATCACCATTATACTAGGAATAATTTCTTGTCCTTATTCCTACTTTATCGATTATCATAATAAATCTATTTATTCGCCAATGTCAATGATGTTTTTTAACTGTAATTTTACCTTTCCCACAATCTGTCCTATCCAATTAATATTCTCATCTGAAATTTTACACTACCACACGTGGTTCAGCTTTAGATGCTTAGTTGAATAAATATAACGTAAACAAACATCCATGCACATGTGCAAACTACAAACGAAACGAAGAATTCGGTAAAAGAGTTCAAAGTACTGGAATTTAATGGAATACAAATTTGCTCAGAGTATACCTATAATGTAGTAGATGATAAGATTGTCGCATTTTTCATCCTCAAAATTTCCAACGTGCAGATAAAAAGATGGGGGTCGGGGCATGGATGAGATATACGTATTCTTCTAAGAATGAATATATTAGAAATGTCAGAAGACATATTGGCCGAGGGCATGACCTCCGTCTCCAGCATGAATTCGCGAAAGGGGCTACTCGATAATCAAATATTAGTCAAAATAACTCTTCATCAAGAATCGGTACTATTGAGTTGTCTCAAGTTGGTGCTATTTCAGTTGTCTTCGCCATTGTCCCTTTCGTCGTCGCCATGAAAACTCAACTCACGTGCTAGCGCTGATTCTGATTGACTTATTGTTAAATGTCTCACGCTTCTACTGCGACTCCTCCCACTGCGTTGAATCAGTCACTCGACATTGTTAAACGAGTCTTAAACGAAGAAGAAACCGGAGGCTATTTGAGGTCGAGCTAATACACGTTTTCCGGGAAATATTAATATCCATAAATTCGTTCTGAACAGGCGATGAATTCTTGGATCTCTTTTGCTGGTTATTAGCAGCAGTTGCATTAAATGCGCATGAACTTCATTTTATGGGCTTGATGTAAAAATTCATACGACTCATGGTCGGTCACGAAAATGCCTGTGTAGACGTCCTTTCGGATTCCTTTGCTTTCTGTCAACTATCGTGGCCATGAGAAAAGATTCTCGGCAAAACCCAGGGGATTCCGTGGATATATTTACCGACCGAGTACATTAGATTTACGAAGAGTTTTGTCCTCAGGGAAGTCCAGCGGAGGACGACGGTCTTTTACGTCGGGAAAAATGGCCGATAAGCTGGTTCAATACGAATTATTAGAGTAATTGGGTTTCCTTATTTAGCGAAAGAGAACTAGCCGTACGCAGAGTTATGTGATCGATATACTAGACTGACGTCTTATCAGCTGACCGTCCAATAATAGAACGCGGGGTGGCCTTATTAATGGCGTGTTACGAAAATCACGTTTTGAGCCTGCTCTGGTGGCATGAGTGAAACCTACTTTGAATTTTTGACACGTCCCGTTCAGGAGGTGTTCTTTCTATTATTAGCTAGCACCTTCCTGACAATAAACACATTAGGCGCAATTAATATTCCTGAACAATAACTAGTCCTTCGCGATGGCTATTCGCGCACGGTAGTCGAGTGGTTGGCATCGCGACGTTTCCTTTTTGGTAAGCCTAGGTGTGCTATTTTTAATTCATTCGCGAACGAAAGTCGCATTCGAAACAGCTCAAGTTTGTCGTTGCAATTGCGGCCTGCGGAGGGCCAACTTATTATGACTTTCAGACTAAACGAGTCACCTCTTTTCATCCTACATAGCGTTACGTTTAATTTCATGCTACTTGAATCGAAAGATCTTTGCATTTTCACGTGTCTTTTATTGCAAATAAATATTTTATGAGTTTAGCGTTATTAACATTTATTAATTCAACAGCGATTCGATCAAGAACGGCCGTTACGATTAAACTAATTAGAGTAATCTTACTTGAGGATATTAAATATACATGTTTAGGTTAATAAGAACTGTCTCAACAAAGTATCAGCTGTTCCAACGTTACGTAAGTGCACAATTTTTATGTGAAGTTTTTCATTTGTATCTTATAGTAAATGCGTAATAGTCTTTGAGGTACAAAAGAAATATGAGAATCTTTTGGAGGTTGACCCAATGTAGAAAACCTGAGTGTCTAGCAAGGAGGCACCAAAGTAATTTTTAGAAATGAATGTCTAGACTAGTTCAGAATTGTCCAGAGTTGTCCCCATTAACGTTTGAATGTCGGTCGAATACGCCCTGAGGCATTATAATAAATTATTAGCAGTTTATCGAAGCAACGAGTATTGGCAAAACGTGAATCCTTTCTTCGCTATTAATTTGAACGAACCAAAAACCTAGATCACGTGATTAGAGAAATTCACGATGACGCAATCTAGATTTTCCACCAAATTATACGCAGATATTTTGTTTCGTCTCTACGAATAATGAAAAATTTTACATCTTTTTACTCGGTTACAAGGACTTTGAGATTCTTATCTAGAATACGTATTTTACAGTGATCGAGAATCTGTTACATAAATGGATGCTGGCGAGAACCTCAGGTAAATGGAAAATTACTACGTCGCTATAGGCAATGGAAGGATGAGAAAAGGGAGGAAAGGAGAATGACGACTGAAGTAAGTTTTTCTGTTTCAGAATGCCGGATAAACGACGAAAGAGAGTCATTAAAAAAAAGTCACACTGAGATAAGAGATATCGTAGATTGTCTCTCAAGTTTTCTTCCATTGTTACTTATCAAAACGGAAGAAACCTGAGAATCAGGCGACTCTGCGTCGCCATAGGATATTTCTGAGTTAACTACAGTTATCTTCTCAACTGTGAGCTCCAATCTCTTGGACGTAAGTTGAATCATAAGATAATACTCCATGGACGGTACCTTCGTATCCCTGGAAAATGGGAAAACAAGGCGATTCATTTCTTCACAAAAGATTCTTAATTAATTGTTAAAAAACATTTATGCTCGACTGGTTTTTTGAATTATTTTTCGATCAACAAACAAAGTTAATCAATGTTTCACGTTTTGTATAAAAAAAAAAAAATAGAGCAACACCGAAGAATAAACGACTTGGTCAGAAGCAGAAACAATTCCATTCCAAGGAGCAATTACCTTCTATCAGAGTAATAAGGCTCTGGTCGTACGAGCATTCCTTTTTATTAAACTCTTCTTAGAGTTAAGAGTTGCACTAAATTGACGACAGAGGGACACGTGTCTATCTATTCTTAGCGAATCCCTGAAATTGATGGACAGAACCTGGATAGAAGAAATAACAAAACCGCAACTCACTGTTATCATAAAAGGAAGGACAATGTAACGGATCTCAACTACATAAGAAGAATATGAAAAGAATAACGAGGAATTTTATAGGCAACGCGGGGATTTTTTCCCCCGGACACTTGCCTTTATTTCCTAGAAGAAACAACTACCAGTGCAGCGCTGAGATTACATTATGTAAAATCCGCCAACCTATGATCCTCACGTTGTTCATTATCGCGAGAAGTTCTCAGCCATCGAACGTCCGTTACTGAATCGCCGTCTGACCTCAACATGGCGGCCATTAATGTTGATTGAAGCAAGACGCTCATGGTGAACTGGTAATCTATCCAGATCAGACTTCTCGTTTCTGTCTCTTACATCCTCAGAACTTTCCTCAAGGTAAGATTGTCAAGTGTCTCCACCTTCTCTGCTCTGTCTTAACCTTCGCTTTGTCTGTTACAGCCCCACCCGATTCGAGAATCCTCGTGAGATGTAAACACGGAAATACTTCCTGAGTGTGAACTTATATTTCCATAGAATAAGGATAACTGGATAGGAATATAAGTCGTTTATATAGAAAGGAGCGCCTGTTGACTTTGAATCATTTGGAAATTCAGTGGAGGCTGTGGCGCCGGATTACAGGAAGTACTCAGGTAGTCAGGCACATGCCATGGAAGATATATTTATGTTTCATTTAGGAATCGACGACCTTTACCGGTATATTGCCATTAAGACAGTAGGCAAATAAATGGAGATTGGGTTCAGTGAACAAACGACCGATCGTTTCACAATGCCATAGCCTTGTCCGTCTGACAGTTAGGGCTGTCAATCACGTACGTGGATTTACCCAATTAAGATCTCCCTTTTCTTCTTTCTTTTTTTTTTTTAACTCACTTCGGTATTCCTTATTCCACCGGGAAGGCCGAGCTTCAGAATTATTTATTGGCTTTTCAAAGATGCCTTAGGGATTGCCTGTCTATAAGGTTCGTGTATAAACACATATCGTCATGCGCACATGAGAGTTCATTGAATCGTTGAACTTGACTGAACGAACGATGAGAAATATGTCTGTCATATAATTTATTAATATTATTATGATACTGTCACTAGCCCTGAGTTTATCGTCTTTCGAGTAACAAAAGCCTCAGGCAGTAATTACCTGGGTAGTCGAAATTCTAATGTAACATTAGATTGACTTTTTTCCTTGTTGTTTCTCGTTTTAAATGGTGCTGTACATACAGCTTACACCAAATTGTCTGATACCCTGCAGTATCCGAAACGATACCAAAATTTCTATGAAAATAGTTTACTGGCTTCCAACGTGGGACGTGATTGAGGTTAACGCTATCTGGGTACAATTCCATCCTGATTTCCGGTCTCGCGGAAATTCCTTGTGTTGACGTTGGTAAAGATGTATGGAATGCTTTTACTGGGGCACAGAACTCTTTCTAGGATTTTTGGTAGTCCACTGTCAGTCTTGTTCCCAACTGGCTCCAGCATATTGTTCCAAAGAAGATTTGCGCCTGAAAAGTGAAGCAGAATAGCGATGAAAGAAACAAATGAAATACAACTTTCGTAACAATTGTTATTCTTCACATAATCAGGTAATTACATAAAAATAATTTATTGTTTGTTAATTCAACCTCCCCGTCAACTGTGCTCGCCTGTCAATATGCAACCCCGCGTACACGGCTGTCTGCCGGTATTTCAGAAGAAGTGCAGTGCTTGTCGGTAAAATGAGAACTTACCCAAGGCGTGTCCCTTTTGACTAAAGTGAAAACAGTCGTACGTAACCAGCGTGGGATCTAAGGGTGGAGCTGTAGATGGATCTGAATATGGTGCATTGAACAGTTTTGTGAAGGGTTGCAATACTACGGCAAAATCAGGTGTGGTATCGTACCTGAAATGCATGCTGATGTAAAAAAAAAAAAAAAAAAAAAAAAAAAAAAAAAAAAAAAAAAAAAAAAAAAAAAAAAAAAAAAAAAAAAAAAAAACGAATTTAATTTGTCAAGTTTAATGACGGTTTATTTATCTACCTTCCAGATGAAACCAAAGACTCAGCAGCCTGCTGGTACATTCGGGACATCGTGGAAGCTTTGATGTCAGGTTTGCTTCCTTTGTGCATGCAGGCGCAGTAGAGTGGATGCAGAATATTGCACATTGTACTATGAGGCACTCTGACGGAAACTGTGACATCTATAAAAGGAGAAATCTCATTAGAATTTCTTGTCCCGTTTATCGTTGTGGGTCTCGAGATTACCGATAGCTGGAATGAGGTTGACTAATGTGCGCGGGAGCGCAGCCCTCAGATAATCCAGGGCTCTTCGCAAGTGAAGAGCGTGTCGAAGTGGTGAGAAATTTTCTGGACTGTAACATTGCGCCGAGCAGATGTCATTTGCTCCGAAGAGAATGGTTATCAACTGAAAATTATAATTGATCAGTGATATTTATTTGACAGATGCGCATCGTTATACCAACCTTCCAGTGCTTATTTACATCTATCCTTGGATCGTTTCGAATTCTTCGAACCAGGATCCGCGCCTGCTGAAGAGCATCTTCCGTGGCGGCCACAGGGAACGCTATATTTAGCCTTGCCTTTGAGGATATAAATTCTCCGGTTCCGGTCGAGTAACCGGTCAGATTAGGGTTGAATTCCTACCGAACGACACGAGAGAATCGATTGAAACTGTCTTTCAATATTCAAAGCAGCAATGCAGAGTGACGGGCACCTTAATAAAATTTGGAAGCGTCAAAAATCTGCGCCAATCAGCTTGACCTCCTACGCACCAGCTGACTCCTCGAGCTTCGATGAAGGTTCCGATTGCGAATTCCTCCAGGGCGCCACTGGCAGCCACTAAGGAGTCGCCCAAGCCCCCGACGACGTCGATATCACCGGGTCGGAGTTTATGTACGTTATTTGGTGGAATAGCAGACCTGAAATAGAACTCTTGTGAAGTATGTGGTAAGTAAAACAAGTTACAGAAAATATTTACCTGCCAAGATTAATGTCGCATGGGAATGGCACCTGGTCTGGAATTACAGGTTGTCTGCGTACGTTGTCTCCTACATTTGGATATACAACACCAGTTTCATCAACGTCGTTCTGCAAGAGGATATTACAATTATTATAGAACCCTAATTTTTATTTGGTAAAACCTCAAAGTGTCTTCTTTATATTTAAACTCCAAGAGCTTCGCTAGAGGTTCCTGCGGCGATTGCCTTGACACGCGTTTCATTTTTCTCTTACGAACGAGGAAGGAGAGTCACTCGATTAATTCTTGACACGTTCAAGACTTTTGCTTTCTTCCATTTGCATCCTGAGTCGTTCGTTTGCGTTTGCAACTATTAACCACCACATGACTTTGCCCACAATAATTAAGTAGGTCCTCGTCTGCTACTTCTAAGCCATGGCGTACCTCGGAATATGAGGAAAATATTATTCAATATGATTATAAAAAAAAAGTTCAATCGATCTTACGGTAGGTCGAATCGTTTCTCAAGACTGTCATACGTTCAGAGTCAGCATAAAATTGAGGCAGTGTCTCGTGAACGTCCTGAAGAAACGTAACGACCCCGCCAATAGCATTTTTATAGGCTAACTATTTCGGATCTAACTCGTACAAAATTCCTCGCCAATTAAGGGCGCCCGCACAATCTTTAATACTCCTAGTATAATGCGAATGGCCTTCGATCTCGACTTTCGTAATTGACAGTCGTGGGCCAAACTTGGCCGCAAAAATCTACATAGCTACTCTCACTCTACCGTATTACAATATTTATGAATACGCCCTGATCGCGTGACAGAAAGAGATTTCGGGCTTTGTTTAAGATACCTGGCGTAGTTGCTCAAAAATTCTTCTTACTCTTACTCTAGGGACTTACTCTTGCCGATTGGAAGATATTTCGTATAATATCCATGAAGGATGCTGCCTGAACCATGGATGGCAGTATTAGAAATCCTATCAGGAACAACCTGCTAATTCCAGCGTTCTGCATTTCCATGGAGGATCTGTCGCTGTCAAGCATGCTGACACTTTCTTCCGTACGTGTCTTCGAGTGCTTTTGCCGTTTTCTTTTTTTCTTTTATAAAGCTTCCAACGAATTTTGTAATCTCTTCGACTTCCCCAGGCCGTCCTTATCTCATTTTCTGTTAAAATCATGCAGACGTTTCTCTTTGATTTCAGTTTGAAAAATTAACGAGAGCTAATACGTCGGAGAACCTTGACGTCTTATTTACACATCATTTACACAAATACGACTTCCTCTCGAAGTCCGTCATGCCATCTTTAAAATATCGACGGATCATTTGTATACGGTATTGTCCTTTTTCTTGCTACTTTCTAAATCACTCTTATGTTGCATTTCTAGGTACTGACTTTTACCGTGTATGTTGCACAATCTCAAATAGCAGTCAAAATCCAAGTCCCAGTAATAAAGGACGCGTATTAAAACGTTACGCAATCTTGCAATCATATTATATGATCAGAGCGAAATCAGATGACCGTTGCAAGCCACACGAAGACACAAGAGTGAAAATAATAATATTAAACAATATTATCGTTTCCCGCTCCAGAAAGGTAATTTTAGAAAATTTCAAAAATATTTAACAGCTTCCTTTCCCTTGAAATAAATGTTAATCCTCTATACTTACTTCTTTCAGATTGCACACCGTGTACCAAACATGCTTCACCACGTGACACAGAAAAAGTAAATGATCACAATTTGAAATGACTGCAAGCGTGTCAACCCCTCGTGCATTTCTTATCACGTTTAAGGAGAGGATTCGAAAGACATCCCAGTGTCAAAAACGAAACGGAAATTCAAAGAGCAAGATAGTCTTGGCAGGTGAGTACACCGTACCTGAATGAAGCTCGGTGGAAGAACGACTCGCGTAAATTTCTCGTTGGCCCCCACCTTTTTGTCATCGTTGACACGAGGATCGTTCGTATGCTTGTTCGGGCTTGTGCTTGTACGTGAGTAAGAGTAGAACTTATATCTATATGACCCGGTTGAGTAAAAGAGTTCTTCTCTGTCTCTATTATGTATTAAGACTTTTTTTATTGTATTGCATTAAAATGTGTAGCCAGAATGCAAATTCAGAAATAACGCAATAAGATTCAGCCTCAAAAATTGTCTTGATGATGCAAGTCGAAACAGTCACGAATCTCAGGTTTTCATGTTTTTTCGCATGCTTTTCAATGTGTTATATAACGTTGTGCAAATATATAAAGAAACAGGTTATTTAACGCGATAACTCGTTCAGGTAGGATATCAATTGATTCCGAACGAAATTATTTATTTCTTCGAAAAGTGTTTATTCTGGCAATTGAATTTTACATGCATAATTAATAGCGGTGCATATGTAATTAGCGTTTGGGCACTCTTTGCATTATTTTCATTACTTTCCAAATGGATTCTTCAAAATTTATGAATTCGGTTCCGGGCAAGTGGAACTTAGGAAATTCTGTCATCATTAATAAATTATATTATGGAACGTAAATGCTTCGAGGAATTGTGTCACGAAGAATTTATATGACGTAAATACAATACTAGTTGGTATAAAGAAAGATTCTTACTTTGTGATTAATTTATTAACCTACGTACATATATGCACGATTAAACCCGCGAACACGTTCATAGGTTAAACGCGGATTGCATCCATGACACGCTCTTACTTTCACTCATACATGGCGCGTTTTCAGTGTCTGCTGAAGTAAGCGAAAGCAATATATTTTTCGGTGGATATTTTGATTTCTTTTTTCTAATTAATGATACCAATTAAGATACTATACGAGAAATAACGGCAAATTATATTCCCATATTGATGTAATCTCTTATTTTGTAATAAACATAAAAATCTCCTGCGAATTGAGGATTTCGTATTTCGCAATTTTTGTTTTGGCAAAACACTTTTCTTTTTGGCGGAGAACGAATTTCATTGGTCCTAAATCACATACCCTTCGTTTTCCTTAGTCTTAATCGACAATCGTTACTCCTTATGATATAAGACACTTACTGTAGTTACTTTTACTTCGATTTTCATTAACTAATATTTGTGACGTATTACTATACTGATCAAGCTTATGAGCTATCAATTAATTTACCCTTAAGAGATTTCTCGCGAAGCAAGACAACATGCCAGCCTTCCTCATCTTCGATTCTTCATTTCTGTGCCACAATTTTTCCACGTTGCGATATAGGATCTCTTTACTGTAGGACACAAAAATCTTTTAAACGTCTCATCCCAGCTACGACTCTTCTCCTGCGGACATTCCAGAAGATTATTCCATACGGCGTTTGTCACTGAAATCAATAATCCCGGAAGGAAAGTATCGATACATTATCTGCGCCACTAGAACTTTGTTATTAAAGCAGAAACGAAAAAAAGCATGCTTCCTGATGACATCTTGACACGAAAGCAGAAGACGAGAGTCCATAATATTAGTCCTCACGCAGTAAGGTAATTATCCACTCGTTGCTCTTACTCGATATACCCACTTCTCTATAATCTTCTATTCTCTGTTTTAGGCTGACAAAGATTATTATTACCTGGCTGACTGCTCGTTCCTATTCGACCATTGTGTTACGCGTTGTGCACACATTTTACATAATAATCGCAGAAAGATATGCCACTGGTTAAAGGTCTCGGACGGATGTCGACGAAAGCTTACCTCTGGCGTTCCCTTTTTGACTTATGTGGAAACAGTCGGTAGACAGGAAAGTCCAGTCCGTCGAACCATCAGAATTCACTGGAATGCTAATGTTGGTTGTAAACGGCTGCGTTACCACGGTAAAGTCATCCTTCTGAAATTCTGACATCCTGGATATTTCTTCCTCCAAGTTTTGCCATCTATCGACAAAATAATGCATTCGATTAGTTTCCCATTGTTGGTTATAGATGCTTCATATTAATTCCAAGTTTACCGACTGTTCCATTATATAGTAGAATTCTGATCTTTGTTTTCGCCATTTCAGGCCAAACATGCAGGAGCATTCCAAGTCATTGGTGAGATCACATGGAAATGGTCTCGCTGTAAGATTCACAAGGATTTTCATACTTGGCGATAAGATTATAGACACCAGAGTTCTTGGAAGATTATCCCGGAGAGTCCTTAATACTTGGATCAAGTCTTCCCTGTGATTCTTTAATATGGACCAGGGTGAAGAGATCCAGCACATTTCAGAGCAGAAGTCATTCGGGCCGATCATCAAGCTGATTAGCTGTAAGCAGTATTAATTAATTTTTAAAATTTTTAATTAACGTTTTGTCCTACCTTCCAGTCCTTTTCGATGTTCACTCTTGGATCACTTTTCATTCTCTTCACTAAAATTTCTGCCATGTAAGGAGTATCTTTCGACATTGCTCCGGTCTCGGCTACGTTGAACTGAGAAGCTTTGTGAATAGTGTAAGAATCTGATAGGGCGTATCCGATTAATTTGGGATTAAATTCCTGAGGAACCATTATTGTTATTACTATTATTATTATTCTTTTATCATATTTCCAGATCGTATTGCTGTGTACAAGAAATCGACAATCGACGTACTTTGATAATGTTGGGCAAGGTCAGGAAATTTCTCCAAGTACCCTGACCACCACCGATTGAGGAAACGCCTCTGTTCTCGACGAAGATGTGAAACAGGTTCGACGCCAGGGCGCCAAATCCTGCCGTCAACGAATCGCCCATCGCTGCGATCACCTTGATGTCGCCAGGTCTGAGTTTGTGCACCGATGTCGGAATCACTGGAGACCTGCCCACTAGATTTCAATTGCACGAGTTAACCAAAGTCACGCGTGTGATAAAGGAATTATTCATCTATATGATTACCGGAAACATCGCATGGAAAAGGATCGTCGTTTGATATCTGTTCTTGAACACGTTTTTGTCTCCGAGCAATTTCCAAGAACGGTCCGCCCTCCTCGCCGGATTTTCCTACGTTACAAAAACGCTTAAACTTCGAAAATTCCAAATCATCGAATAATGCACCTACCCACGAAATTCAATGCCCATTGGCGCAGACTGCGAAATAGCCGAATGTTCTCTGGAGAATCCAATGCCGTCCTTTGGGGGTACCCAAGCACAGATACGAGAATTACGAGGAAGATAAAGTAAAAAAACAGAAGAGAATTCTTCTTTCCCGAATAGCAAATCGCACCGCACTGCGATTTCCTGTGATCACGTCGAATGCACTGGAGTTGCATGGCGACCCGTAAGATAAAACCCGAACGAATGGTCTCGTGAAGAGAAGATCGAAGAAAGACGCCGCTCAGATTCGCAGTTTCAAGAATTAATCACCTTGAATGTACCACCGCCACTCTGAGACTCACGAGGGTCATTGTCGCTAGAAGAAATTGCGTATTATAACTGAAATTCTAAATTTAGCGAGCAAAGGAACGACCAAAAGAGGGATGCGTCTATAGTCTTAAGAAAAATGCTGTATTTTTCCTGAAGAAAACCGGTTTTCTTGGATACCAAACGTCATAAGGTTTTTACGAATACAAGTGATTGCATTCATGAAAAATGTAGCTGATCACATCGAGTTTCTTTATTTATATTGCAATAATATACCAGAGCAACAAACTTACCTTTAGGATCAATAAAGCCAGACGTATCGATCTGCCAATAATCCTGCCACGATCGACGTAATGACTGAACTGTGCATTTATCCTGCTTTCTGTTCTTCGGGACACCTTATGAGCAAAAGATCCGAGACCAAAGAGGCGGGAGTGTTTTATTAAAATTCCACATGTAGTCTCTAAGATCTCACGTGGAATAGAAATGTCTTCCAAGAATTTTAATCCCATACGAATCTTCGCCATTGCGTTTTCCCAAGATAACGCATCGTGAACGATGACGTTGCGGATCATTCAAAAAAAAAGATCCATAACAACGTTTCTCCATTCGATTTATTCAAATAGCAAGCACTCTTGGCGGCAGCCGATGACTGCTGATGACGCCCGCGAAGCTTAGTCGTGCTTAGATTCCGTATTATACGTCAACGTAATTGTAATGGGCCAATAAATCCCAATGAATTACACTATTGGCATCCAAATAACAAATGCGTCCACCATGTGTTCCGCCTATAAATCAAAGGAATATATAATACTCTCGAAATTGATTCCACTTGTGATAAATATTGATGAGAGAATTTTCAACTATAGGACACACAATTTGTTTCTACTAGTCATATGGGTATCCAGATATAAAATTCTATTATCTATATCGAATCCTGATTCAAGAAAACTCTTGTGCGTTGGTAAGAAATAGATATTTTTTTCAATATCACGAATATAAAAATTCTTCTGTAAATACATCTTTGTTGTGTACACACGATAAATACTGAAGAAGATGCACTTTGAAAATCGCATAATATAGTTCGTTTATATGCACCGCACAAACCTGCACTGTGCGATCCGGAATAAGGGGTTGCTTTACAGGAATTCTAAACTATTACATGATTCTAGTATTAATCATTCATCCTACTCCGATTGTATCGTGTGCATCCTTTGCATCGATGCTGCACTTTGTTTTCGTTTCAGATTATGCTGGTGCATCGAGCAGCGTGAATAAAGCATGACCTTACGAGGGTTCCATAAACCTTGGACTCAATAACTCGGGACCACCTTCTTTGCCATATAATCTGATAACCACTGTTGACCAGACAACTTTTTCCGAACCCTTTGGCATTGAGTCTGGCATCCTGTCTGAAGCAATCATCCACGACCTTTGTCAGGTAAATTCTTTCTTAGAAACTTGAAAAGTTTTGGTATGTACGTCGTTATAATCGTTGTTCTTATCTTATCTGAAACAAAATACAATTGCAGGTTAGCTGCAAGAAGATGATGATTTTATATTCAGCTCAGGTCATAGAGCAATTAGAGTATCCTGAAATGATATTGATGATCTTGAACTGGATGAACGAGTTAACCTGCGCAGACCTTCATACTTGGAAGGGATTACTTCAAGTTCGTTTTCCTTTTACTGGCACTTTGGTAAACGCGACTATTTTATATCATCATCATAAATTAACGGTTAAGTGACTAACCTAAGGATACTCATGTTACTTTTTTCGTAAGTGAAGACGAATTTACTTATTTGACAACGCATTATGCAAACTAATTGGACAAATATTGATGTTACAGGTGACATTTTATCATATTGACGTATCAACATTGAGTCGTTTCTATAAGGAAAATTTCTATAAGCCAAGTCCATTTCAGTTTGGAGCGAACAACGAGACGAGAATTGTATTAATATGTACCTGTGGAAATTTAAAAATAACTTAATACGACAGATAACTCCATTTCAATTTTGTGCAGCAACTGTGCTATTTTATGGAGCGATTCCGGCGTCCAAGAAGAAATACTTAAAATTATTAAATCTAGTGATTGTGACTATTACATTGTCTTTATGTTTCATTACTTTCTCATTAGTCCGAACGGACATTGAGTACAGTGATTTCAAAGCTGTTGCTAAAATATTATATGTCTATGAAACAGGTTTGGTCACACTATCTGTATATTTTCGATTTATTACAAACCGTAAGAAAATCCTACGCTGCACACGAGAAGCTGAATATCTGTCCACCCTAAGTAATTTTAAGGGAAATTGGCTCTCTGTGGGGGGTAGACTTGGCTTTCTTTTTGCGCAATACTTGTACACCAGGTACAGAAAGATTTTGTGGAAAAGCTCCATTCGTTCAGTGCATTCTAATAATGATATTGTCACTTTGCAGCCGTTTACTTGATTCGGTCACGCTGAAAGCTGTTTTAAAAATAATAACGTACTGTATTCTCGACGGACTTACACTGTTGCTCAGTGAAATTTATATTCAAATTATCTTTCTCTTACGTCACGAGTACGGTCGGATAAAGGTGGACCTAGTCGAATGGATTGAAAGCTACAATAACAATCCAGAATTAGGTAACATTCTTTAGAACGATATGAATTTTTTTTAAAGAAAAAAATTACTCATTGCAAATTTTTCAGCAACTGAATATCGCCTACTACAAATTCAACGTCGTCATGGGATTCTATGTCACTTGGCTAACAGTCTCGACAAGATATACTCCCTGGAGATATTCTTATATGTCACGCAAAATATAACATTTATTCTAATGATTATTATAGCTCCGAGTAATTATACGAGTATGAGGGAAGCATTTACAGCCACGAATATTATTTTCTACGTAGACAAACCCTTTAATATTATTTATCCGTGTTTGATGACTGAACTATTAAGGCGCACGGTAGGATATGCATGATATGATATAAAGGTAATATAAATTTTACTTTCAAGGTTTTGTGTTTCAGATGATTGAGAATGAGAAGGCCATTTACAGGATACGCTTGGACCAGTGTAATCCGGAAATTTTTAATACGGTACGAATAATAGAAATGACTATAGTTACATGACCCATCCATCCTAAGATAAATTGCAAGTAATTACTCACTAAGAAATATTATTTTTAATAGCTCACTCTCATTTCGTTACAACTAAAGTATCGCAAACCGCGTTTCGATTGCGGCGGTTTCGTCAAAATGGATATACGTTTTCTGGTGTCCGTAAGTTCAACCCGGTACGAAGCAAGCTTGGCTGTATAATATGTAATTTGACATTAAAATATGTTTTAGATTATGAAAGTGCTGATTTCATATACTGCTACTTTGGCGCAACTCAGCAAGAATCAGTAACTTGCTGAAAACGGGCATTGATCTCGCATAATTTAGAGCAAAACTCAGTCGTACGTGCTCTGGCAGAAATGTTACATCTAAGGGCATATTCCGTAATTGAACCAGAGTTGCGGTTATTAAATTTCAGCCAATTGCATCGATTGATTTCGACTGCTGACAAAAATCAATCGATGTCATTGACTGAAATTTAATAACCACAACTCTGGTTCAATTACGGAATATACCCTAAATAAACACAATCTGGTAGATAAAGTAGAAGATTGTTGTTACCGACAGAAAAAACGAAACAGCACCGCCAGATGTCGCCAGTGTCACAGAAAAGACCATTTCTTTATTACAGAATTTGTATGCAGAGTTGCCAACCGCCAGGCGCTTTAGCGCTCTCACAATTTTCCTATCTTGCAATATCATTTCAACAGCAGTTTATTGGATTGCGTGCAATGCGTAATAATTATTCCCTTCCTATTAGTAATAGCTAATAATATCATATACGTAAATGAAGACCGCATCGTTATTCCTTCAAACGAAGCAAGCATTTGCTCCCAAGGGTCATGAGGATTTCACTAGTGTGGAAAGTGGTCCCTCGTCTATTTCAGGCAGTCAGTCTCTCGTGTATATCGATCCTAGTGAAATCTTTTAGTGAGTCGAATACACCAGGAGGCATCGACCGTATGCAACAGTACTATATGTCTTCTTATCGCCCTGTGCTGCATGTAGCTTACAAAGCTGCGAGTGTATTTACTGTAGAACTACTTTGACAAAGGGAGCGCTACGAGTAGAGGTGACAAGACGCGTGAAGGGAAAACGGGATGGTCACGTTGCCGGAGATGGCGGAAATTCCCAGGGTCAAGGTTGAAAGGAACGCTTGACGGCACCACACGCCCCAGTATACTTTAAGCGAGAACTTGCTTCGTAACATTAGGTCAAGGGTCAGCGAACTTTCCATTTTCCTTTCAGACGTATCACTAGAAAGATTTATTAATATTAAAATTTAGGACATTCCTTCGCCAATAACACGATACACTTGTAGTGGGATATAGGGAAGAATAATTGGCAAAATTGTCGAATGTGTAGCGGCAGGTTTGGCACATGAGTACTGAAAATAGCAATGGAGGTATGAGGATCAGGAGTCTTAAATAATGATGCATTATCCATTGAAGAATATTCTTTTATAAAGGCCGAACAATAGCAACGAAAAATGGAGGAAGGTCAGTGGGAAGAACAAGATAGCTGGCCTACTGCGACCCCTTGCTTCTACCAGTAAGGTAACCCCTCATTCATTTGAATTCGAACAGCCATCTTCTTCGAGTATTTCACGAAAGAAGGGCAAGACCTATTTTGGGATATAAGTATATATATATATATATATAT